CCGGCGGATGTCCTGGGAGGTTCGGGATGTTGTTGGAGTGGAGATGTCACGGTCCTCATCAATGAGGCACATACTACCGATGTTGGGGAGCTGGCCGGCGTGGTTGCTGAGAGACGAACGAGGTCGTCGACTTTCCGTGGTTGGATTTGTTGAGTAATGGCCCAACGGTGTTTTAGCACCGGTACGACTGGATCGGCTTTCGGGTCGGCCATTCGGGGGAACTCCAGAATGCACGCTTTGGCTAAAGGAGCTGCGGCTAGAGTAACTGGTTCGGCTGCTTGGGCGACTTTCGCCGGTTCGTCCGAAAGACTGACGACTTGGTGGAACGTATGAGGGTGTGCCTTCGCTGTCTCGCACGGAGGAACCCAGGCTGCTGCCGCTCAGCCGCTTCCGGGAGTTCCGTCGAACGGTGATCGATGAGGCGACTGGGCTTTCACTAACCACAGACCCCGAGCGAGGGGAACCACGGGAAGACGTGTCAGACGGTGCGGGCAGTCTTGATTTGGCGGACTGGACGCGCTCTTCGAGCTTCTGCATCTTGCCAATCAGACCACGGATCTGGAACAGCGAGCCAGACTTGGGAAGCCCTGGTGGCCGGGAGGTATTCGTTCTCGTTAAACTGTTGCGAGACGAGATAGACATCGATGGAGTGGAACGGCCATTGCTGTATGCGCCGTTGCTGTAAGCGAGGGACGGGGTTCGAGAATGAGTGGTGCGCGGCTGAGGCCGAGCATGAAGTGTTCGAGAGTTGACCGGTTCAGGCCCAGCAGCTCTCTGTCGAGGGAAAGAGGGTGTCGCATTGATAGACTTGCGAAGGTTCACAGACGACTCGGAGATTGGAGGTGAAGGCGGGGTAGCAGTCGCCGACGCAAGGGATGACTTAGCGGGGGGCGTAGCAAAGACTGGGGAAGAAGTAGTGGTACCAGGGGAGCGGTCAAAGATCTCTAATGTCTGAGGAGTTGACGGGCTGCGGTATAGAGGAGTAGGCTTGCGGCGGCGGAAGTCATGTCCTTCGGTGTTCCGGAGCCTCTCTTGGATAATCTCAACTTCAATCTTGAGATCAGACAGCTCGTCCCGGAGACGCTGATTGTCAATGCGCAGTTGTTCGCGCTCCTGTTCTCCGTTTCTGATTTCTTCCTCGAGCAAAACTCCGCGCTCAATACCAATGTTGTACTTGGACTCCATGTCCTCCAGGGACGAGGTGGTATTCCGGGCTTGTCGCTCGTAGTCATCGTTGGCAACCTCAATATCACGCAGCTTCAATTGCAAAGTACGGTTTGCGTCTCGCAGCGAAGTAATTTCTTTCTGCAGGTTGTTCTGGGCAGTATTGCCCTCGGTTTTGGACTGCTTGTACTTGGTCTGCCGCAGTGTTAGTGCCCTACTTTAAGCGACAGAGCAGGCAATAAACGCGCAAATACATACCTTCCACTCATCGACTTCATATCGCAGTGTATCAACCTTCTCCTTCAGCTGCCGCTCACGCTTTTCTGAAGCCTCAATGTCCTTCTCCATCTCGGTCTCCAGCTCCCGGCTGGAGGACTGGAAGTCCGCAAGCTCCGCCTCGAGCTGCTCATACTGAGCTTTGTAATGTGCCAATTCATCTCTGTAAGAGCTGCTCGTATGCTTCCGTTCGGAAGGTGACTCATCGACGGCCGGCATCTTCTCGCGTTGGGCAGCGACACGACCGGGCGCAAGGAAGATGTCTGGACGACAAGCGTCGTCCAAAAAAGGCCGAGATCGTTAGAGGCTGTTCAGCAGGCTGTCTTGCCCTGCAGATCGCACACCAGCCCCTCTCAAAGCCTCATGTGTTGCGTAATGTTGCGTAGCGTGCCGATGTCAACAACCGTGCGTTGATAAGAGCCCCTCGCCGAGGCGGTGACGCAAGGGATCGGTGTAGTAGTTCCTCCGCAAGAGAAAGGAGAGATTTGTCGAAGTGAGAGAGTGCAATGACCTTCCCGCCTCTCTCGCAAAGGCAAAGTAGGCAAAGCGGGATAGATTAGATCGGAGGGAGAAACACAACATCGGTCGTCAGGGGGCCGGAGAACGCTAGTCTCCATCTGGCTGCCCAATGTCCACCGCCTTTTGTGTTTACACGGCCTGACACTCGCGATCTAACGCTGATTGGTTGGACTTGGCTGGCAGAACACTCCAGATCGTAAGTTCCAAGGCAGATAGATCTACATGTTTCATAAGTTCAAGTTACCGTTTGAAGTATGAAATGATTACTTAATTGTACGGAATATAAAGTATCCAATAAAGGGTCAAATTCGTTTTAACAAGGCAGATCATTTCATACAGTACTTCGCAGGCTAACATATATCATTATCTCTGGCAGGTATATGCCAAGGATCACCTCCAAGCTTGTTCCTCTTAGTAGATTCCTCGCCCGAGCGCAGTTCATCACTCTTCTTCTCGCTTTGCCTATCAGTATTCAACAACTAAATGGACTATTGAATACGACCTCAATAGAATATAGATATCCATACAATGGTGTATTTACTAAAGCTGTTAGACGCTTGTTCAAGGTTTTAATTAATAACTTACCTTATTACATACTATAAGTTATCCAATAGTCCAGTGAGTTCGTAGAATACCTTGAACACTTTATTAACTGAGCACCTTACACTACACAGACTCTATCTACATTCTTCAATAGTCAGTAAGGTCTATCGTACGTTGCCTAGGTCGAGGTAGCATACGGCATACAAACCTAGTCCAGCGCTACAGTACATGTAATCCTCCCATGGTGGAACAATGGCGGTGACCAAGTCGGTAAAGTAGACAACCAATCATATAGTCATATAGACATGTTAATTTACACCGCCGTGGCCCAAGTGTATTGCCTGAGGCCACCATCATCCTTGAGCTAGACCGCAATAGTGATCTTGATCGACCTCAGCCCGTGATCTGGATTCAATCCCCAGTCCCCAGTTTTGGGTCTCGCAAAGAAGAGGTAAGTGGTACTTTTTGATTTCCAATTCCCTTCCATCCCATCCCTTTCAGAGCTCCCAACCTTCTCAGAGCATCTGTTTGCCTCCAGAACCACCCAGGTGCTATGTCCACGCACAGCGTTCCTAAGATCACTGATCTCATCCGATTGCTTCCACGCACTCGTTTACCCCCAACCTACTCGTCGCAAACTTCATCTGTCCCCAGCTGGCATCGGACTTGCGATAATGGTATGACGCGTACTTATTCGTCCCAACTTCTAGCTAGATCACCTTAGGCCAAGGCCTACCCTGGTCACGATGGCCGACTCCACCGATCTGAACCTCGACGATGCGCCGAGCGACCTTCAAGACATTCCAGAACTGGCAATGCAATTGGTGCCCCCTCCTGAAGGCACATACCCTGACAAGTAGGTCTCCCCGCCATCCGTCCCTTGCGTGTTGAAGTCGGATGAATAGCTTATCTTCCTACCAGAGCTACCCTTCTCGCCGCAGTCCAGAACCACGGCAAGGAACATGGCTACAATGTCGTCGTCAAGTCATCCAGCATGCCTACTGAGAAGAAGCCCGGCCGCACCGCTAAGGTCTGGTTGCGCTGTGATCGTGGCGGTCACTATCGGCCCCGTAACGGTCTCACCGAAGAGACTCGTAAACGGCGCAGAACTTCGCGGCTAATGGATTGTCCCTTTATGCTAGTTGCAGCTGGCTCACCCGGTATTTGGACATTGACCGTGATGAATGCGACGCATAACCACGGCCCTATTGTTGATAAGCCCCGACAGGCGCCTCAGCATAAAGTCCGCAAGGGCCAGGTGCCTGCTATTCCATATGACTGGCCACATGATTCATCATTCACTCCATACACCACCGCGCTTGTGATTATTGATATGCAAAAAGACTGTATGTGTCTGAACTTTGCCTTCATATGAATAACTAGAGGTCTAACCCATCTTTATAGTTTGTTTGCCTGATGGATACATGGGATATCAGGGCTATGACATTTCCGCAAATCAGGCTTTGATTCCTCGCCTGCAGCGACTGCTTCTTGCCTTCCGCTCCGGGGGCTTCCCGGTATATCACACTCGCGAGGGTAAGTACTATACACTGATGCTATATTCCCTATCCATACTACGTATAACTAACAAATATCAGGCCACCGACCCGATTTATCGACTCTGTCGAGCCGCGAAGCCTTTCGCTCCCGTAACAATGCATCCGGCTTGGGTATTGGTTCCCCCGGTCCGATGGGTCGCCTTCTCATCCGTGGTGAAATGGGCCACGACACCGTTGACGAATTGTACCCTCTCCAGGGCGAGCCGGTGATTGACAAGCCCGGCCGGGGTGCCTTTGCACACACCGACTTCGAGCTTCTTCTTCGTAACAAGGGAATCAAGAACCTTGTCATTGCAGGTGTGACCACCGACGTGTGCGTTTCAACCACCATGCGGGAAGCCAACGACCGTGGTTTTGACTGCGTCATTTTGGACGATGGCTGTGCTGCCAGCGAGCCATCCTTGCACATTGGAACTATCAATTCCGTTAAGATGGAAGGTGGTATTTTTGGTACTGTTGCCAAGTTGGAAGATGTGGTCCACGCAGTGGACAACTTCAAAGCCGTCACCATGAAAAAGCTGGCTCCTCAAATGGTGGGCTGAGCATCTTTGCTCGTCATTTTAGCGAGGATCTTTAGGGACTGCTGGTAATATCATCGGCGTTTGGAATTGGGATTCAACTCTGTGAGATTGCAGGAAAGCGAAGCGTGCAGACCAAACTCTTCGGGTCATTTTTATCTTTGAGTTGTTTTTTAGCGGGACAGGAATTTCGGTTTGGAGGATGACATATTCATTCTCTTTCCAGCCTTTTCAGGCTTTGGAAAAGAACGTGTTGCATTTAGCTACTTGATCTACAACCTTTGGGTATCACGAGAATCCAGTCATTTCAATGCATTAAACATTTGCAGAGCAGGTTGCAACAATGCAATTGACCCCAGTAAGAAGTCAGACCCATAAACGCCACGCTCATGAAATAAAGCGAAAGGACAAAAGATAAAAATTACAGCCACTTTTTCCCGGCGGCCGTAACTCTCGTCCTAAAAACAGGACTCCGGATCTCCATGCCCTGTTTGTAGAAGGGGCTCATCGCCGTCTTGACATAGTTCTCATACACCTCGTTCATGAATTGGCGCACTGCCTCCTCGGTCTGCGGGGATGTTGGGTTTGCGGCGACGGAGCTTGACGAGGCGCGTGTTGTGGATCCTGCTGACCCTAACAATGATGATGACCCAAGACCACTGCCTGTGCTGGTTGAGGAGGGGAGGTGCGGGGGTTGGTGGAGGAGCAGGAAGCGCGCGCCGCTTGGGGTAAGAAATGCGGAGATGTAGGCTGCGGCTGGTGGGTAGGTGTCGATATGCTTAAGATACCTTTTCACGGTATTAGCCTGTCGGTACGAGGTTTTATGTGGGGTATGAAGCGATTGAGGTATTGGAGATCGCAAAGCCGGGGTCATGAAAGTGTAGGTGTGTCACGGGTGATTCACGGAGGCTCTTTTGCATGGTGCAGGGTTCAAATGATATTAAGATTTTTCTATACTCACATTCCGCCATTCGTCCATTGCGCTTCTTCCAAGATGTCCAGACTCGAGTGAATGATGAACTGGTTCATGTACTGCGCGGTCTCCGGGAAGCGGAACCGGGCAATGCCATCGCCACCTCCCTTGGATGTCCCAAATGCGATGTTGAATAGGGGTGTGTCAGTTGGCGACAGGATGGTAAAATAGTAGGACATTTTGGGCCGATTGAGGTAGCTGAAGTTTGAGATGGGTCGAAGATCATGGGGGCTGTTTACTTGGGGGCTTGTCATCACGTGATGCTAGATAAGGTTATTGGTTGGACAATACAGTCGTTGGTATAGGTGAGGCTGTAAGGTGAATGACATTAGGGGATTTTTGAGGTTGAGTAGCCTCTTTGGTCATGTAGACGACTCTGAGTTGAGCGTCTGGAGAAATTTTGATTGCTATCATTTGGCATGCATGCTGCTTTAAACATTATATATCTTTTGAAGCCCGCAGGTAGAAGGGAATTGTAACAACTTCCAATGTACTAACTTGCCTTAAACCAATCAATAAGAGCTCAAAATGGCACTCCCAAGTGTACTATACTTTGAGCATAATGCTATCATTTGCATGCTTGTTCAAGTATACATCGAATCTCCCCGCAAAACCACATCACGTGACCTACCGATAACCAGCCACTGCTTTATCGCATCGCCGTCGCAACTTTTTGACCTCGACAAGCACTACTTCTGTCCATAATACCCACGTCGCATCTATACACCAAGTATGCACAACCGCTGAGCTACTTGGATTGCAACACTTCCACTATGCCGCCCAACATGCCATACGGATTGCACCTTGCGAACAAGAAAGCGGCGCCGAAACCAGGAAACGCGTTTGGACAAAAACGCAAGAAGAACATATTTGACGATGACTCCGGAGACGAGGATCAGCATAACGATAATGGTGCGATCGAAGTTTCTACAATCGGAGGATTAGAGCAGCCAGCACCGAAACAAAAGACACCTTCAAGCTCAGGACCGCCACCGAAACGGAAAATGCAACTAGGCAGCGGGCCCAAGCCCCCTATCAAACCACTCAGCAAGAACTCGCTATTTGCCGATGATGAGGATGAAGACGAAGAAAAGGAGAAACAACAAGGCCAGATGAATCTTGGCCTTAACCAGGCAAAGCCAAAGCAACCACCAGGTGCTGGCGACGAATACACTAATCTCTCGGCTTTGCATAGCAGTAAGAAGCATGCGAAAGAAGCCGAAGAATTTGACCCATCAATCTACTCCTACGATGCCGTTTATGAGAGTCTTCATACCAAACCTTCCAAGGCCTCAACAGAAACGAAGAGTGATGTACCGAAATACATGAGGAACCTACTGGAAAGCGCAGAAATCCGAAAGCGGGATCAGCTACGGGCTCGCGATCGTCAACTTGCCAAGGAGCGTGAGGCCGAAGGCGAAGAATTCGCAGACAAAGAGAAGTTCGTCACATCCGCCTACAAGGCCCAACAAGAAGAGCTGCGCAAGGTCGAAGAGGAAGAAGCGCGCCGCGAGAAGGAAGAGGAAGAACGTCGGAAGAAGAATGGTGGCTCCGGCATGATTGGGTTCTACCGAGACGTGTTGTCACGAGGAGAAGAACGGCACGAGGAGGTCCTCAAGGCCTCAGAAGAAGCCGCCCGCCGTGTCAAGGCAGGTGAGGTGGAAGAGGAAGCAGAGAAACAGCCGGACGAAAAGACCGATAGTCAAAAAGCAGAAGATCTCAATTCTCGCGGAGCTCATGTTGTGGTCAACGACGAGGGTCAGGTCGTCGACAAACGCCAGCTTCTGTCTGCTGGATTGAACGTGGCACCGAAACCCAAGGCCCAGCCATCTGCCCCCAAAGCAGCCCCACGCCCCTCTGCACGACCAGGTGCCGCTGCAGGTCCCCAGTCTGGCCGTGCTGCTCAGCGTGCTCGACAGACCGACATGGTCGCAAGCCAACTGGAGGAGCGTGCGCGACAAGAAGAGGAGGCCGAGGCTGCAAAGCAAAGGGAAGTGGCCGAGAAGAGCCGCAGCCGCAAGACCGAGGGAGAGGTCTCCAGCGCGAAGGAGCGCTACTTGGCAAGAAAGAGGGAGCGGGAAGAAGCTGCCGCCAAGGAGAAAGCAAAGGGGGCTTGAGTGCAAACAAAAAGGCACGCTCGATGCGTCACCTTTATAGAAATTTGGAATTATATTGCATAGCAGTGGAAGCTTGTACACTACACGTAATATCAGAAACAGCAGTCAGACTTTTTATGGTTGAATATGAAGGCTGTTTGCCACATACAAACAAGACGAGACTGACTCATCTATATGTGAGTCAATCTTCAGAGCCAATCAGGACAATCATCCTGTGCTTTGACACCATTTAGTACGCGGATGCATTCCTTTTCTCAACTCTTTTAATCATTTACTTCGGAGAAACCAAAAACCCGAGATCTTAACCCCGGCTTACATCATCACCTAACTCAACGTCACATGACACCACACGGGCTCAGTTAATCCGGACCCGAACACTGCTCGCTAAGCCGCCCCACAGGTCGCACTCCCAATTTTGCAACCCTATCGAGACACAAGAATCGCTCCATCACCAAACCACTTCCACCTCTCGTTCATCAAAATCATCCAACATGGGTAAGGTTCACGGCTCTCTCGCCCGTGCCGGTAAGGTCAAGGCTGCCACTCCTAAGGTGAGTTCTCTTCGACACCCCCAAATCGCCACTCGACGATCGCCCGTGGCCTCTCTACCGACCAATCCTTTTAACGACGATTTTGCATCCAGGTCGAGCCCCAGGAGAAGAAGAAGAACCCCAAGGGTCGCGCCTACAAGCGTGTGCTCTACACTCGCCGTTTCGTCAACGTCACCATGACCGGTGGCAAGCGCAAGGTACATATCGAATGACTCACCCACCTACCCCCACAACCGAACACACAAAATTCCACCGAAGCACAACACGCATACACGAATACCGAAAGAGAAGGACTCGAAAAGCTGACACATTGCGAACTACAGATGAACCCCAACCCCGGCCAATAAACTATTCAAGTCGTTGAAAAAACCAACCGCACCGCGATCGGCTAGTCGAGTTACACGATGTTGAGACAAATATTCGCATGACCGCGACACGACCACGGCCCAAACGAACGAGAGCAACCAGATTACGGCTGGTACTTGGACGGATGATATCATGCTTCGTTTTCGCTTGAATTTCTTTTTTTGCTGGTAACGCACGGGTTATGGAGGGTTGAATCACGGAAATTGTTGAATACACATGGCGGTCTGAGGATGGAAGGCTGTGGCTGGGTGCGTGGGCTGTCTACGGACAGTTTTCGTTTGCCAGACTTCAGAGTCACTTTCGACTCGTTACATAGGCTGTTCCATGAATGAATTTCCAATCCAGAAATGGACACTTCTTCTACTTGTTGTTTCGGATTCACGGTCTGAAAGTTAGGATCGGGGATACGGGGCTGGCTTTGCATGCCACACGTCTATCTTTGGCTTTTGAAGTAGACTGGTTTAGCCAGGTACACATCTGTGATTCGCATTGGCAGTTTCGCCTTCTTGCGCTTCCAAGCGCCATGTAATTCGGATTCTACGGTTCTGACCTCTACATCAGGCGGCTCTCTATATATTCCCCTTCCGTGGCTTCCCTCTGACCACTCAGGTCTAGGCCTTTCGCCCGTCATCTGATCATCATGGCAGCCTGACTCACTGTGACTGCATATAAATAACGCCTCTCGCAGCCTCATCCCTGACTTTGATTGAAAAGATGGAGAAGCTGATACAGCTTCGTTGCCAATGTCTTGCGATGCAAAGCCAAGAGGGTTGTCGCCAACTAGAGCTGATATAGAGTAGATTGTAATCAGCACGACTTATCTGACCTTGCCATTCCTTTTCATGTATGCTTTCAACTATCAACGCTCAGGCGCCAGCCTCTCAATATGATCCACAAAACTCTGGACATTTGGACGAGGTGAACGATTGCATAATAAAAGTGTTGGCGGTCAAAACTTCAACGCTTTGAGTAAGGCTATAGTTCGCCACTAGATAGAGATCGTTGCGACGTGTACACCCTCCAAAATTGGCCAATACTTTTGAGAGGGGTATGGGGGTGGCCAAGTGCTATCCAATTTGGATGACACCATGAACACGTTTGTACCTAGCCAGCTATACGTACCATATTGAAGACAACTCTTGAGGTACCCGGGTGCTTCCCAGAGCATGGTAAAGCCTCCAGCACGAGCTTCAGCCTCGAGATGTTGCGCCAGCCCGCGCTGACTGTAGTGAATGACCGCATAGAGCTGGAGGCAGGCTGGGCGCTCAGCAAATCATTCGGAAGATGAAATTAGCATTTGCGTGTACGGGAGATTGTCGATGCTGATCAAGAACCTGCAGAGATTTGGATGTCCTCGAGCACTCGTTGCACCGCACCCAGATCAAGGTGAAGATAGCGAAACCGAGACTTACCCGGACACGGCCCGCTTCCGGCCAAGGCACAACATGTCCCCCGTGTCGTATTTTCTAGTTTTATCTTCCAATCTTGAGGACCAATTCTAGTGATGATTCGACGATACGAGACTTTTATGGAGTTATTCTCTTACTATTGTCTGTCTCGCTGGCCAAGTGGGGACGGGAACCTAGCCCGTACAACTGAACTAAACCAACACGGAAGAAAGGATTGCTTCAATTGGCCTTGTCTCGTCTTCCAGTCTTCTCTCAAGCTATCTTCAATTTGCTCTCATAGTATTCGAACCCAAAATGGTCAATCCAACAGAGCCAATTATCATCATCGGAGCCGGAGTCTTTGGGCTGTCAACCGCCTACGAGCTATCCTCTCGCGGGTACAAAAATATCACTGTCCTCGATCGTTTCTTGCCGCCCGTCCCTGATGGCAGCAGTGTCGACATCTCTCGAATCATCAGGATGGAGTATGCAGACCCAGTTTATCACCAAATGGCACAAGAGGCTATGCAGGGTTGGAAGACGTCTTTTAAAGATTACTATCACCACTCGGGCTTCGCGATCTTATCAGAAACGTCATCAAATCCATACATCGAGAAGATCCTGCAGATCACCGAAGCCCAAGGCGGATCATTAGATGCATCTCCAAATGCAAATAGCCTGAAAAAGATGTATCCCGATATTCGAGCCGACTACAGTGCTTTGAATGCATACCACAATTCCGACGGAGGTTGGGCAGATGCGGAAGGGAGTATTCGGCATCTTGCAAATCTGTGTAAAATTAATGGTGTCTCTTTCATCACCGGGAAACGAGGGACTGTACAAACCTTGCAGAAAGAGGGAGGTCGCGTGAACGGAGTGAACGTGTTGAGTGGGGAGTTTCTGCCTACATCAAAAGTAATTCTCGCCGCGGGTGCCTGGTCCAATCTCTTGCTTGATATGTCCTATGCGGCATCCGCGTCAGGGCAGCCTGTGGGCTTCATTCAACTAACCCCAGAGGAGGCCTCTAACCTCCAAAGGATTCCTGTCATGATCAACCTCACTAGCGGTATCTTTGCGTTCCCTCCGCAGCCAGGTACAAATATCCTCAAGGTTGCTCGGCATAGTTACGGTTTTGGAACTGCCATCAAATCCGATGACGGGGGCCGTATCGTTTCTTCGCCGAAGCGTGATTCTAACAACGCCAACCAATCCTTCCTACCCGAGGAAGCAGATCAAGCTTTGCGAGATGGCCTTCGACAGCTCCTTCCCGAATTTGCAAATCACCCTTGGTCGAGTCTTCGACTGTGTTGGTACACAGATACTCCGGAGGGAGACTTTATCATTGACCATCATCCAACATTGAAAGGTCTCTTCCTTGCGACGGGTGGAGCTGGACAGTAAGTTCTGCTTGCTTTTGCTGTTTATTACATGACTAATAGAGAACAGTGCTTTCAAATTCCTACCAGTACTTGGTCGGTACATAGCCGATTGTTTTGAACATCGTGCCTCAGCTGCATTGAGACAGAAATGGCGGCTTCGTTTACCGGATAGCAAGAAGGAGGTGAAGATTGGGGATGGAAGTCGCGCCGGACCTGCGTTTCGAATCTTGTCGCCTGAAGAACAGAGTAAACTGTGATTAGCACAGGTCGGGTTGCTTCCTTGTGTTTCCTCCTTTTGTCTTTGGGAGTCCTCTTGGAGGAGTCAAAAATTTGGCATGCCAGATCGTTCCCGCATCTATACACACTCATTTAGTCCATTATATTGAGACCCATAGACTTTCAACGGCCGTAAATTAATAAACGCTTCTAACTAGACAGGTCCGCCCTCAGAGATAAGGAGTGTGGCTGTTAATGGAGCAAGTGAGGTGAATAGACTTATTTCCACGCACCTAACTGATTACCCCGCCTACAAAAAGGATATGATAGGTAACTCCTCGGCGTTGTCCAATGACTTCCCGGCCAATGTCATAAACCTATTTGGCTGGTGATTCTGTATTTGAATTCTCAAATCCGCTCCCACCATCTCAAATTGCACAATGTCAACGAACGGCCCCCGTCCCGCAAAGCGTGCCCGTCAGGCTTGCGATCCATGTCGGTAAAGTGATCGAAATTTCATTCACTGAGTTTGTATTGAGAATCACAGACGGAAAAAGTCGCGATGTCCTGGCGAAAAGCCTGTTTGCTCATATTGTGAACGACTAAAGCAGCAATGTGTCTATTCACAGAGTGAACTTGCAGAGCCAGAATCTGCCGCTGAAATGGTGAGTGGCCATCGAAACAGTATATTATCTGATTTAACATATCTTATTGAACAGGCTAAGCGTCTGGAGAGTGTCGAAGACAAACTGGAGGAGTTGATAAGTAGTCTAGGGTGAGCCAAAAAGAATATCGGCCCGCAAATGCTGATGACACAACTAACAGGTTGAAGACCAAGACAAGAGTTGAGTCCAGTTACAATGGACTTCAATTTGATGTCACACGCCACAGATACTCCAAGTCTTGAGGAACAAAATTCTCTCATGAGAGCTGCGCGGCTGTACCTGGCTTTCTGCAACTACCAGCCCCTTCCGCTATTCAGTTCTGGCGACTTTCTTGAAAACTTCATGTCGAGAGACACAAGTCTTATTTGTGTGGTTCAGGCTATTGCTCTTCGCTTTGATGCTGTATCCGAAAGCAGTGATTCGCACTTACAGAAGTTGGTGGGAAGAGCACGGTCTTTGGTTATGAATCAAATCACCAACGGAGTCTTAGAAGTCTCTTCCCTACAAACTCTTTGTCTCTTGGCTCTGTTTGAGTTCTCCTGTGGGGTTCCTTAACCTTAACATTTCTGATCATAGACACTGACCTATTATAGCTGGCAATACTACCCAGGCCGGACTGACTATCAGCATGGCATCATACCTAGCTCAGAGCATCACCACTCGTGGCCAGGTTCTAAACGACATACAAGAAGAGCCAGACGAAAGAATTCGCTGCTTATGGAGCATCTACTTTCTCAAAAATCTTCAAGGCGATGGCATTCAAACAAATATGCTGATGGCCGGGACCCGCACACCTTTTGACACCGGTTCGGGGATCTCTCATACATATAACGCCCCGGCCATTCCCCAATACCCCAGCTCAAACCCGAGAGAAGATGTGGGGCTGGTATATTATAGCATTCAAATCAGTGAATTATGGGGCGCCGCTATGAACTATGCAGCTACTCGTGTGGACCACACTTCGCCCGCACCCTGGTTCCCCCACTCCGACTACTCAATCATTACATACCGACACACGGAGTTTGATGCCCGGGTCCCTCTTAGACACCGATATCATGCCAACAGGTTCCAAAGTCATACCCTGGAGGAGCTTGATCAACGCCGTGACTTTTGGGTAGCCTGGCTCTTCCTCCAATTCGTTTATCTGACAATCCCCTGTCTACTCAATCACCCATTTTTACTATCCATGAGATTGCGGAACTTCAAGCATATAATGCCCCAGTCTTTTCTCCGTCAGTCCTTTGAGAACATCAAATTTTGCACTGGGTGGGTTCTTCATTTGATTGACTTGATAGAGCACAAAGGTTTTGAGGTCTACGATCCGATAATTGGGCACTGCGTTGTGATTGTCGCGACAATTCATCTTCAACATAGTTTTGTCGAAGAGCAGGAACTCAGGCACAAGGCGACAAGTGGATATAGTAAATGTGTACGCTTTCTGCAACCACTGAGTGAACGATGGCCTCATGTCAAATACATGGTGAGTTAGATCTGATTTATGCTTTCGGTACCTATACTAATAGCTTCACAGACGCAGAAACTACAAAGTCTGCGAGAGAGTATCGCGACAAATCCAGGCCGTCAGACATGGTCTATCAATTCACGTCTCCTATGGGAGGTGCTTGTTTACGATCATGCAAGCAGATCCCCCGCTTCAAATAACATTTCCCGAAATTCATTCTCCGATCATGACGTTAGGCAACAATATTCAGGGATGACCAGTTCAGATATTGACTTCCAACTCCTTGGGTCAGCTGGAATATCGGGCCACAAGACTGTCGTCAAGGAGGTTGCCGACGGGCCACCCGAATCGGTTTCCACTCCTCCAACTGAATTCACCCATGAGAGGGGTACTCATACCACCTTGTTCATGAAGCCTTCTGGGATGATGGGAGACATGATGGGAGAAATCATCAATGAAAATTTATTTGTAGAGCCGGAGAATTATGGGAGAGCAATTGAGGATTGGTGGAACATGCCATCTTTATGATATTATATATAGCGCAAGTTGATATCTGCAATCGCCCTTTCAAAAAGATGTGTGCTTTCAATTAAAGCTTTGCCATAATATCCTTTGACCACAGTTGACAAAGTGGCCCATCCTTTCCGTATACAGGGTCTTCCTCAGGTAATTTCACGGCCGCGATCTCTTTTCGCAGCAACCTCAGATCAATCCTGGTTCTCCCAATCTCATTCCTCCAACGTGGACAATTCTTGATAACAAAAGAATATCAGTAAATGAGTTAACAGTCCAGAATAAAAGTTGTCTGACCTCTGGATACACTCCCACATAGCGATAGTCCGCTGTACTTTCTAGAGAACTATGAGCTGTACCTGCCGGGAGGACGATGACATCGCCCACATTGACGACCAACTTCATGCCAACTGAAACGTCGTCACCAGTCGCCGCCCCTAAGAGTAAGGTTGAAGACCCCTGAAAGATACCTATAGCAGTTTATATAAACATCAGCCCCAATTATGTTAGACTGTAAGTGGTAAAATTATCCTACCATAGCATTCGTGGCTGTTGGGATGAAAATGCCGAATGTTTATTGGGCCCCATGTGCCCTAAAGAAATCAGAACTTTTTTCAGATCAGAATTTTGAAGACATGGTATTAGGACTAACTTTTTTCTCCCATTTTCCTGCCGTGAGAAACTCTGTCACACATTCCTCGGTTCTGGGCGAAGGTAAGACGGCTCTGTAATGAATGACGGGAAGGGTACTGTTAGGCGAGTGCGCTGTTGGCTGGAGATAATAAACGTCCGGAGAGGCCATCTTAGTAAAGCAGCTTCATAGGTACTCGAGTTTAGCTTTAACTGTGGTATTTGTGGCTTCTTATCACGAGGAATATCTCCCCGGACACGGACCGCACCCGGAGACTCTACGCATATAGTTTTGATAAGAGACGGAAAAGAAGCCTATTGGAAGAATGAAACAAGAAACGAGGTTGTCTTGTTACAACGATTATGATACACGATTTGATTTGAGTATATGAATAGTTAGATGCCCGTCTGTTTTCTTCATTCCTGCATATCAGACAATTGTCGTTTTCAATATGGATACAGAGAAGAAACAAGAACTTTCGAAAGAGCAAAGTCTCTCTGAAGGTGCTATGGTACCCCATGATGAGACACATCCTAGTTCGAATATAGCCGTCATTCACGATGCCATAGAAAATATCGGCATGGGTCGATACCAGTGGGGATTGACACTCTCCTGCGGCTTCGGATTCATTGCAGATCAAGTAAGGATGAAATGAACATATTACAAATAAGTTGTCTAACACCTCTCTTAGATGCTCCTCGTCACAATAAGCCTTATCATGCCGCAGGCATCCAAGGAATTCGCACCCTTACATGCAACACTTCTATCTGCCACTCAGTATGCTGGCTTATTGGTGGGGGCCTTGGTATTTGGGTTCGGGGCCGATATTATCGGCCGCCGCATAGCGTGGCAGGCTTCGATTTTTGGGGTGTCTATTTTCACGACGATCTGTGGCGCCTCGCCTAATTGGGCAGCATTGAATGTATTCGTTGCCCTGGCAGGCTTCTTTGGTGGAGGCAACTGTTGGTGTTTCTTTCAATTGCAAAAGAAACGTGTGCTAATGACCACGCAGTGGCCATAGATCTGACGGTTCTTGCCGAGTCTTTACCCCGCAAATGGGGATTTCTTCTAAGCGCCTTAGCTTGTTTGTGGGGGTTGGGAAACACATTCACTGGGCTGATCGGTAACCTCCATCATATCGAAAGCACTAATGTTTTATTGACTGAGATTCTAGCTTGGCCACTCGTGGCGAACTTCTGTTGCCCAGATGGCGCTACGCCCGCTACGTGTGCCAAAAGCGATAATATGGGCTGGAGATATCTCTATATAATCATTGGCTGCCTCTGCCTGGTCATGTCCATTCTTCGCTCGTTCGTTTTGAATATGAGTGAATCACCGAAATGGCTTATCTCCCAAGGCAAGTTGAATGAGGCAGTAGTTTCTATCAACAAAATCAGTAGGATCAACAGGTCCGCATTTATTATTTCAAGCGAACAACTCCACCCACATCATGGAGGGGCGCCCAATACTTTGGGAGATACATTTAGTATGGTAGCTGGTTTATTTCGGGGCCGCCAACAAATTCGTTCTATGATCTGTCTTATCATTCTCTGGCTTCTGATCGGCATAGCGTATGCATCCCCCTACTTTGAGTCATCCAGCTCAAGACTTTGAAAAATACTAACAATGTTAGATACCCTATATATACTGTCTTCCTGACATACTATCTCGAGGCTCATGGAGCCAAACTAGGCACAGGAGGCATTTATCAGACCTACCGCGACTGGTCCGTGTCCTCGGCTGTTGGAATTTTCGGCCCTGTTTTCAGCGCTGTCCTCATTCAGACGAGTTTCCTTGGACGTCGTCGCACTATCTGCATTACGGCATTTGCTTGCGCAATATTCGCCGGAGCCTTTACAACTGTGAGGAATGAGTCCCAGAATTTGGCCTTCTCTTGCATGATAAACTTCTGGTTGAATGCCTTGTATGGAGTGATCTATGGGTGAGCGATCCTTGGCAACCAGCAGATTATGTGTCCGCTCTACTAATTTCATACAGATATACCCCCGAGGTTATGCCGGATAAGTACCGGGCGACGGGGTGTGGTTTGGCCCTGGCTTGCGGCCGTGTTGCATCGCTGTCAGCCCCTTTCATTGCCACCTGGGGTAATGTATATACCTCGGTCCCAATTTTTGTCTGCTGTGGACTTTTTGTTGCGATGGGAGTTGTGTCCTTAGTTTTACCATTCGAACCTCGCAATTTTGATAATCAGTAGTTGAATTCTCAATGTACAGGGGGTCGGTTTTGACGTCGGATCCGCGCTTTTGAATAGCATATACGTATTGAGGTACTTTGGGGTTGCAGTTTAAGATTAGCTAACGGAGCAGTATTACTACTGAATTTGCCATTTTCTTTTCATGAGCTCAGCCGTATTCTGGCAGTTTCGAAACTAGGCTTTACTAAATACATTTCAATCCGTTTCATAAAGAACTATTATTGATAGCTACGCGGCGCTACGGGTGATGCAGTAAAGCAACATGGCCAACTAAGAGCCTGACAAGATAGTATTTCAAATGCGACTAGATGAAGGAATATCTATTGAGATTTTACAACTCAAAACTACTATCTTTCTATGTACAGAAACCTCTTCAAGTTCCACCAAAATCCCCTTTCAATGACCTCGTGAGATAAAGTCAAGAGAGAAGCCTCATTTCCCTTGGAACGCCCACTTTTGCTTGGTAATGGCTCACCATCCCAAATATAAAAGCTATGATCTGAGCCCTTCTTTGGAACAGATGTCGTCTGGGCAAAAGTCTCTCGTTCGGCCATTCCCAATGGATCTCGCTCTGGCTCTTCGATCCACGATAGTCCAGCTCCCCAGTATTCAAACCGAGTACGGCCTTGGTAAGTCCAAATGTAATCCTCCCAGCGGTTTTCTGAGAGAGTCTGCATGTAATGTAGAGAGCTCCCCGGGTACAGAGCAGTCACTTTCCCGTTGGTAGGTTTGACTATACAGCGTACGTAAGAAAACAGAACACAAATCATAACCAGCTAGAAGCGAGGCATTGAACAACTTACACCAGCTACGGCAAGATCCTGTCCAAACCATGTCTCTCATCAACTCCACTGTATGGCAATCGAAATCTTGCTCGACCTCTTGGCGGATTTCGAACGAGCGCACGCGCTCACGTATGAGCTTTCGTAAAATGCGGATGAAATAGTCACTAGTGGCTTCCAACGGACCTTTTTTGAGAAAATGAACTAGTCAGTTTTCGTCTCTTGCAACATTTCAGTGATGGAAACTTACCCATTAAACTGCCATTTGATATAGGAGTATTGGGACCCAGAAACATCAGGTAATTGGGGAAGCCTGAGACCCCCGTGCCGAGATATGAAACGGGATCCGAGCTCCATTTATCTTGAAGGTTCATTGAGTCTCGGCCAATAATAGGAAATCTTGGCTTGAAGCTGGTGTTGAATCCCGTTGCGGCGATGAGCACGTCTACTTCACGTATCACCCGAGAGCCGTTTTCTATCTCGGTTGTAACACCTTCCTTGACGATTTCTGAGATTGGATCAAAAATTGGATGAACATTCCCCTCCTGGAGTGCCAGGAGATATGCTTCACCAGGATTGGTCCTCCGGCATCCGACCTCAAATGTTGGAATGAACTTTGACTGCAGGTATTCATCATGAATAAGCTCTTTCATGCGTACTTCGAACTTCTTCCGAAGCCCTGTTTGCTCGAGGCTCCCTTTGATGAATGCTTTGAAGTTTGAGTTAAACGGGCTTTCGAGGCCTTTGCGCATCTCTAAATAAGAATCTCGATTCTGACGGAATCCTTGTTTGTCGTCTTCACTGTACTGCGGATTCTTGTTGTCAGACGCTTGCTGCCCAGCTGGTGGACATATCCACGACGGAGTGCGGATGTAGATGTCAACGTCCTCGCAGAGAGGCTGGATTTTGGGAAGTAGTTGCACGGCACTAGCGCCTGCCCCGATAATTGCGACACGTTTACCCTTCAAATCGATAGCTGAATCCCAGCGAGCAGTGTGCAGCAAGGGACCCTCGAAAGATGACAGCCCGCTGATTGTTGGCATCTGTGGATGGTGCAGAATGCCGCCAGCGTTGATGAGAATCTCACTCTCAACTGTCCCGTAATCTTTAATATCTACAGCCCAAGTTGCCTTGGTCTCGTCCCACGTGGCGCTTGTCACTTCGCAGTTGTAATGAATATAACGTTCCAGATCAAAGTGCTTTGCAACATTTTTCAGGTAGTTCTGAATCTCAGTCGAAGATGCATAGCTGGGGCGCATGTCAGTCTCGTTAGTCTTCAGTCAAATTGAAAACACATACAACTCAGACCAGTCAGGATTGGGTGCAAATGAGAACTGGTAAACGTGACTGGGCACATCACAGGCACAGCCTGAGAACCGTTAGCCCTAGGCCATCACTATACAAAGCAAGCATACCTGGGTACCGATTCTCATACCAGGTCCCACCCAAATCCGGGGACTTTTCAAAAATCATGAATTCCACATACTCCTCCAAATGTTTTTGGAGTTTATAAGCTATAGTTTGTCAGTGGACGGCTGTAATTGAACATGGTCTCCGTACCCATTAAGACACCGGAAACTCTTGAAACCCTGGTCAGCGATTTTACTTTAACAACATTAATATACTCACCCGGCTCCAATTATCGTGCAACGAAGGTGCTTCATTTTGATTCTTTCAAGCGTGGTTGAGTCTGTGAATATACGTTGAGGTAAATAGTGAAACCAGAAAAACTGTATAGAATCATAAAAAACGAATAGGATTTCTTCACTCTGCCTTTAATCTCTGTTGCCAGTAGAGATAATAGCGATAATGCTTACTTTCAACAATCTCCGCCCGGATACGGCCCGCTGCCGGGTCACACCAGGAGACGGCATGGGTCCCGGATGAATAACCCAAGAGTTGGCGTTGAGCGCATACTCAATGTAGATAAGAAGGATATACCACAGCTCATGTCTTGTCTTACTTACTGTGATATCCGGAATATAGTCAGTTCATTGATCTACCGTTCCAATCTCACCCGGCCACTAGAAATCTATCAAACCAATATGAATCGCCTATTCTCCTTTGGCAAACAAGACGCTGCTTCTTCAAACAGCAGCACAGCAAGCGAAGCGGGGGATCGAGCTCTTCCCGCACAGTGGTATCGTTCGCCAGCCCTTTATTCCCTTGAGCGGCGAGCAATCTTCTCCAAGAAATGGATGGTCATTACCCACGAGACACGCTTCCCCAATTCGGGTGATTACGTGCAGTATACAGTCGCTGGGTATAATTTTTTCGTCATCAAGGATCGCAAAAACACCATTCGGGCCTTTCATAACGTTTGTCGGCATCGAGCGTACCCTGTTATGGAATCCGAGTCCGGGACGGCAAGCATCATTGCTTGCAAATATCACGGTGAGTTCCGTAACAATACAAAGCGCTACCGTGCTAATATATCCAGGGTGGTCTTACGGCCTGGATGGTAAACTTGCGAAGGCGCCGAAATATCAAGACATCGACGGGTTCGACAAAAGCACAAATGGATTGTTTCCCGTTCATGTCCATATCGATAAGCTGGGGTTTATTTGGGTGAACTTGGAAGCTTCGATGGAGCCTACCTTCTCATGGGAGAATGATACTGGTGGTGTCGACCGGCAGCCACGCCTACAGCACTTCAAAATGTCTGAATATCGGTTCGACCATCAGTGGAGTATGATGGGCGATTACAATTGGAAAACACTCGCTGATAACTATAACGAAGTATGTCTCTCATTGAATAAGGGAACTGAATCTAACTGTGTCAGTGCTACCACTGTCCAACCGGTCATCCAGGTGTCAATTCCGTCTCAGACCTTTCAAGATATCATGTTGAGGTGAACAGCGGAATCATCGAGCATTACAACACGAACAAGGAAGATACGACGGGATTCGATATCAATAGCTCTTTTTACTTCCCCAATGCGTCTATTACTATCTCGTATGCTTCATATCCGCTTTAGACGAGCACTACTGATTGGTTTTCACAAACAGTCCAATCTTTTTTTACATGATGAGATGCATACCTGTCTCAGAGTCTCAAACTCTCATGGAGTATGAAGTATACCGGCATAAAGACGCACCAGAAGCCGAATTCACCGAGATCAGTGATTTTTTTAAGCAGGTCCTTCATGAAGATAAAGACCTTTGCAATGCTGCGCAGAAAAACCTGAACACGGGCATCTTTACCAACGGACAGCTGCATCCTAATGCAGAGAAGGTAAGTTTCGATGGTAACTCAAATAGCGAAAACCTTGAACTAAATTACGAAAAGGGACCTTTATACTTCCAAAAGCTAGTTCGAGACTTGGTCTTTAAGCATCGGCAGGAGGAAGAAGAGGCTGGTCTGGATATTTGGCCAGCAACACCTCAGCATGTCAAGACTGCAAAGGTCGATGAAGAACTACAGTTCTGTCAGGGGCTCGACTGTGCATTAGATAAATCTCTAGCATGGTAGTAAAATCTTCGATTTGTGTGTTTCTTCATGTGCTCTCCTTAGCTACGATCTATAATCGTCTCTGGTTTCTTGTTCCCAAAATCCTCCTATCAGTCTTTATACGGTTGAACTTTAAGGTGCCGAGGCAGGCACGTATCATACCCACAGTAGCCACAAAATTGAGAGTATTAACATTGGAGCTTGGAGTCCTTAGATATGTGTTATGAACCACCGCTATCACTCTAGATTTCTATATTTGTAACGGATGACAGGACTGGGAGATGAAAGAAAGTGTTAATCACATTGTTTCAATCTACTCCTAAGTTCAATGCATTTTCTATGCTATTTATAATAGGTAGAGACTTTTAGCAAGAGCCGTATTTCCATATTATCGTTTTGCTGCTACAGTATAGGTTAGATATCCATAAAATACTGCTACATAAAACCACGAGGATATGGATATATAAATCGGGTGCCTAAGACAGTTTTGAACGTCTGGGCACGCATTAATTACAAACTGACCTTGATGGTTTGAAAAACGAACTGAACAACATTTACCAACTGCTCAACTGCTTAATCGCTCGTTTATCACCTTAATCGCTCGTTTATCACGCAGTAAGTTGTTTTCTCACGGTTCTCGCCAAGGCAGGGTCTCCAGCGATGTCCAAGGAGGGCACGGATATCTATTGCGATGACCGGACGATTGCTTATGGAAGTGGGGATGCATGCGCTTATTCACAGATAAGCGGGTTTTTGTCTCTATATTTTAACGATATTCTTTGTTAACCTCTGTACCTGTGCTAGGACATGTTAGGGGTTTAGGGATCCCCAAGTAGATTGATCCAATATCCCTGGCTGCAATGCACCAAAGCCAGATTAGGAAATCGTGTCGTCGAGTAGACAAAGTATTCCCAGGAGCATCGAGCACAGAATGGAAATGCTGATTAGGTGGCCAAGTAGGAAGCTCCATGATGGCGCAATTAATTGCAGCCAGTTCACCAGGATTAAAGATCAGGTTGATAAAGCCAGGCTCTTTTGATGGGACAAACGGGACGATGGGTGCGATCTGGAAACGGAGGGGTACTCGTGACAGAACTAGCGTGTTGCATTTATTGGTGTAGCTTACTCAGGCCGCTCACCGTTAGGCTCAGTTCATACTCAGTGAGCGGATCAGAACACTCAGGCACTCAGGTAACGATCAGATCATGCTCAATTATCGGATCAGGGCGCTCAGGGGGTGCTCGGTTGTACTCAATGAGCAAAAAGCGGCAAAGCCTGAGCACTAAAACGGAAATGAAGTACGTAGGTACTCAATACTCCGGTGGAAATTACAGCAAACTTCTGATATTGCAGCAGAGTACTGGAGGTCGTGTAAACGAGGGTTAAATATATTTATCGATTTCCGTCAACCAATCAGCAAAGGGGAGGTGATGGAATAAAAGCAGGCATGAAGAATGGAAAGCGAATATTAAAGGGGAGGCGACGAATGATATGGTAAAGGGGACAGATTCGCCAAGACTATTGAATAATGAGAAGAAATTGTTTAGAAGGCATCCGTTTGGACAGGAGCAGCTAACTCTGCTTCCCCAACTAGGATCTAGTCGATTAGATAGATGCTCCATGGTCTATTTCCTTTTATTGACCCGCCGATATCATAGGCCGCTGCAATGTTTCACGTTATTCTTCTGTTTCCTCTCATTTTCTTCTCGATTAACACATTGGACTTCTGACTACCCGATGTTGACGTGGGCCAGATGATAGATAGTGCCTAGTGGCATAAATGCAAGAGCTCTGAAAGCATGTTGCAGTCTTCAAGGAATAGAAGCATCAACTATCTTTTAGCCGGAGATGACGCTCGCCTTTGAATCCAAGGGTATTGGAAACGACATAAGAGTGGATCTTACACTACCGGGCTTCTCGGGGACTGGGTTTGCGATCACCGTGGCACATCTACGGAAACGTTTTACGGCCATGCAGACAATACCTATATTAATTTGTATTTGTCCTAGATGTAAGATGCGCACCTCAATAAATTCCAAACCAGGAAGCCAAGCCAGTATCTCTCTTTATAATTTGTACACTTTTAATGCGCTTTAGAAGCCTTCTTTCAATAATAGAATTAACTGTATGTATGGCATAAACCAGGTTGTCCGCATGGCCATCAGTTTGGGCCGTACATACGACTCCTCACCGCTTTCGGTTGGCTCTGAACGCCGATTAGATCCTTGCGCAGCCGAGCTAACCCTAATCCTTTCCTACTATTTGCGACATTGTGACCCATTCAATTGCGTCTTCTCATTGGCTTTTCACGAAATGACCTCTCAATAAACAAAATTACTCTTGTCTCCTTGATTTCTCGAACACAGCCACAAATTGCCCAGAATGAATCGTCATTTATTCCGTCGCTTATTGCCTAAGCCGGTTGCCAACGATGGGTCGCAACTACGTGATCACCAGGCCAACGAGCGTACCTTTCTTTCTTGGAACCGAATGGGACTAGCCTTCGCAGCTATGTCACTTGCTCTCGCTCGACTTGATATCATTGACAACATCTTTAATCGCAAATCCCGCGAGGAGATAATTAACGCTCCTAAGTCATCCGCGAGAACTGTCTCCCCAGGAAAGCTATCAAGCGAGAAAGATATTCCAGTAGCAGGAAATGGATCACCAATTCTGATTGGAAATACGAGCGATCGTGTGGCTAGCCGCGTTTGTCAGGCCATCAGTATCTGGTCATTTGGATATTCATTTGCTCGGTACATGTCCACTCGAAGTAATTTATTGCAAGGACGCTTTGTTCCTGCAATCTGGGGGCCTTTGTTGATAACATGTGGCTCCCTCGGCGTTTTTGGTATTACCCTGAAGCTAGAGTGAAATGACGGGCGAGAAGGTTACTGATTTATGGGCTAACCGTGTAAAGAGTACGCATGGGTCCCCCTTCATTTGCATCGCATACATGTATACTACATTAAATTTGGCTCCTAGATCGATACCAATAGATATGTCAAGCTTTTTCTTATTTTGGCAGAATCATAACTGCATTGCCTCTCCATAAGTTCTCGCGGACAAGGAAGAAACCTAATAGTAGAGGTTGCCAATTGCGACTCGGGTACTGAGGAAAATATGAGCGAAAAGTGATACTCAATATTGCCTAATGACCACATGCCAGTTGTAGCTTTTCCCGGGGCAATTGATTTAGAGCCCTTATGCGCTATGGCGTCTTCTCTGCTCGTAGTGATCCCCCCAACATGACCATGCAGAAAATATATTAATTATCAGCCACTGCACAAGATGTCGGGGACTATATGTAAGCATTTCGGGCACCAGAAGATCATCTGTCAGCCTCCTGAAACATGTGGGGCGACGTACAGTAGCGGATCAAGGGGCTCTCAGCTGGTCGCCGTTTACCATGTCTCTCAATTTGAGCTACACCATTGTATGCTGCTATGTTCCTACAACCACTCCGAAGTAATAGTCGACTGGTATCACCGAAGTCGATACTTTCAATATGCCCAATCATATTTCCCATGGTACTATCGATTTATACTCCCCATTCAGTTGTCTATGTACCAAGTCACGATACTTACGCTGCTTGAAACACATTCGAAGGTCCAATGTTCCTAATAGCCTCATGCGAGATCCGAGCAAGATTGATCCCTGACCCGTGTGACCAAAGTCTGGTCCAAAGGTGTCGAATGACGAGACAAAAGGGGTTGCTGATACTTGCTACATATTCTTGTCGATCAACGACAAAAAAGCAAAAAAAGTTCTTGACCGACGCAGGGGTCGAACCTGCAATCTCTTGATTCGTAGTCAAGCGCCTTGCCATTGGGCCAGCCGGCCTTGTTGAGGCGACTCGCTTGCGTCTTGGCCCTCGCAGCCACACCATGTTGACGATTTTAAAGCGTAGAGGTTTCTAAGGAGCTGTCAGACTTGTCATATATGCATTCCGATGGAAAGACGATGCTCTATTGCCGTATTCGGCTTAAGATTGTGCAGCCTTGTTCAGCTTGCCGCCACCGATCTACATGCATCCGATTTGTATGATCACCCCCAGCATCGGGTCGTGCTTGTTCTTGCATGTTGCAGACTCCTCATGGCCAAGTGGTCTCTAGTAAGAAGTTCGATTTTATTTCAGAAAGGTAGCTGCCCGGATAGTCACTGATTTCATCTTTTGGAGGTGCAACAACTTCAGGGCAAGGAAACGAACGAACAATGTGGATTTTGACGAAACCACTGTCTTTCTTCCCATTGGAGACGATGTAAGGAGGAATAATTTTCTTAAAGCCTTTACTGGGCTTTTGTTGATTCGACTTGCGATGATTTATTTTTTTCCTCCTATGAGAAGGCCGTAGAGACTGTCGAATGTGCCTAGTCAACAAATCAGTTAAAGGTCGTATATCATAGAATATGTAGCTATAAGCGTGCGCTTTTTGACCATGTATATAATGATTCGATTATTTAAGACGCGCCAACAAGATCAGGGTCTAGACTATGTCTGGGAGTAAGCGTGATCAAATTAGTCTACCAAAATACCCATTTTATGTGAGGAACTAGAACAATATTGATTTCCATCTTATCAATGCTTTTGGGCTAGGGACTTAAACCCGTCTGGCGGATATTTAATTGCATGTTTCAGGATCTATCAACCGTCCACATCCGTCAGCGGGACCGGGCTCCAATATGGTCCCCGACGTCCGGCCACCAATCCGGACTTCTCGGTTGCATCCTTTGAGGGACTTCTAAGCTATGCGTGAAATGAACAAATTAATCCAACCTGGGCTGTTTTCAAGCAGCAATCAGTTTCTCGTTCTCGGAAGTTGGCAAACGATTCGTGTCTACTCTTCGTCTCGACTATGGCAACCACAAAGTCTCATCCTTGAGTCGGACGTCCACACCACACCACATGTTCTCTCGTCAAGGCGAATAGTGTTCTTCGATATTAATGAAAGCCGTGTCCGCGTGGGATGACCAAAGAGGTCAAAAGAAGTTATTTTGCTTACCACCATCCTTGATCATCCATCTCGACTCATGCGTTTTCTCCTGTCCCCATGACAGAACTTCCTTCGACAAAACGCCACGTCCAATCCGAATCTCCCTTCGGACAGTGCCAAAATCTTGCTGTGAATATTGGCAACCTCCCGAGAGATCCACATCCATCATGCAGTCTCCATTTTAAAGAAATGGCATCCCATCCACCAGAACCTAGGGCTTCTAGTTCCAGTTTCACAGATATAGAGGTGAAAATGGCATCCTCTGCTCGACGACCACCCGAAAATCCGAAACCAGATTCTTCTCTGCCGGCCAGAAGCGATAATTACTTGTTTGCTATCTACTATACCTATTTCCACCCAGCCCATCCGATTCTTCCGCCATGGAACCTATTCCAACAGGCTCACTTGCCGCTTTATTTAAAGCAGGTTGTTGAATTCATCGCTGCCCACTTCACTCCAACCGCATCCAGTGAGACCTATCGCCATACAATTGTTGGAACAGTTCTCAAGCAAGCACCAGAAGCCGAAAAGGTTCAAGCACTTCTTCTATTGTCCATCGTGTTGCATTCGCGCACCGAGCATGTGGAGTCTAAGAACTGTTTGGCCACAGCTGTCGACCTGGCCTTTGAGCTTGGCCTGAACCGGGCTTTTTATGCTGAAACCGAGAGCCCCAACGATCCAATCCGAGCTGAATGTTTACGACGCACATGGTGGGAGCTTTTCATCATCGAAGGTCTCTTGAAATCATTTGGGGTGCAGCATATCTGCCGCACAGCCCTCAAGCCTCTCGAAGTGCTGCTTCCATGCGAAGAGTCTACCTTCCGTGAGGGCCTGATTTTGCCAATTCCACAGACGCTCTCGGAATTCGATGCGCGTTTTTTTGCCGAAAGGGAGCCTGGTTTTTCATCGTATACCTATCGAATCGATGCTGTGCGCATCCTCAACTGGGCACTGGATATACGTGAGATGACCGGAAGTCATGAAAACCTGATAGAGGTTATTGATGCTCGCATAGCCAGTTGGTTCCTCAACTTACCCAGCTCCAAGGCCGAGCTCCTACGGCAAGATGGCTCAGTCAATGAGATAATGTTTCAGGCTTGCATGATTGTTAACATTGCCTCTATTCATCTGAACTTTTCTCGTTCTGGCCTCATGTCATCTTCAGCAGTCGCCACAGATGTCATCTGCAATCGCCAAGCTTCCCCGAAGGACTCCGCCTTCTCCCACCATTCCCATGCTACGAAAGCCGTCAGAGCTGCCAATGAGATATCTTCATTAGCTGCGATCAGTTCGCCAGTTGAAAAACACACCCCGTTACTCACTTGTGCCCTTGCGCTCAGCTGCATTGTTCAGCTTGCAGCCGTAAAGGCAGGTCAGATGTCTGACGCAACCCGTGACCGCATCTGTCTGAATCTTGGAGTGCTGAGATCGATGGGCCGAACCTGGGCCATTTCAAAGACAACTATGCAAAAGGCCAAAGCTGTCGCGCGTGATGTACTGGCTCTGGGGACTCAGCCACCCATGGACCTATTCGATTTCACTACCCTGCTCGACCTAAATGAACAATTCTTGATGGATGGGAGCATCCTTTAAATGCCTGCCTGGTTGATGAGACGACAAAGAATAGAAAGTGGGTCTGATACCCACTCCTCATACCTAGTGAACCGTCTCTTTACTGCTTCTTTCAAATTTCTTAATACATTCGGAATTAGAATGTCCTGGAGCTATATAGGGTGACTAAAGACGAGAAAGAAGCAAATGTTACTCCTTAGACCTGTGTATGACCACCTTAAAACGCCCTAGGGACCGGGAAACTTTTTCTCCACCTCTGTGTATTGTTAGAAGATCTGTATGCGGATCCAAAATAAACTAAACACCTTATAATAGGGCTTGGCCTGGTCGACAAACTGCAGATTAGTAGCAAGTCTGATTTCATCATCCGGATCCATATTCTTGAAAATAGTATGAACCATGAAAGGACTATGGAAGATAAAGATCTCCAGCGTCATATTCAGCTATGAACCATTTCCTTTGACCCTCTTGCCCGTACTTGAGTGCATCGCGGCCAAGGAAACCCGCTCTTCATCCGTCAATGCGTTACGCGCAGACTCTTCTTCGGTCCATTGCTCACTACCAGCAGACTTCTCAAGAGAGATGAGACCACCTGCTTCAAGTGACATATATCTCTGATTGGACCTCCGTTTCACACTATGGGACTCAAATCACAGACTTACATCCGCAGTTCCGAGGAAAAGAAGCACTATATCGTCTAAACAGTTTATGTTATCTCGCATGACCATCTGATGGTCTGTGAACTACGGGGATTTACCACTGGTTTCGACAGGGACCGGTGAGATCAGTTCCAAGGTAGTTGAGTATGACAAATTTAATGCACCCAGTAGATTATCCTGACAATCAGTCTTTGATTGAAGCGTTATTTGTTTCTCGAAAGGGACTTGTCCGAAGTAAAATGTCATGACATAACCCGCGGATGTTCCCGCCGTCGTGGCCCTCAACATGCCGTCACCCGCACAACCCAGGATGATATCACCACCGGACCATCCGGAATCTATTCCTGACTGCCGCTCGCTCTGCAGCATAATTGATAGCCCAAAGATGAAATACCCACGGATCGACGCGTTGGATTAAGGTTATCCGGGGGCAGAATGGATGACTAAGGCCAGATTGGCCAGTCAACGACCTCGGGACTCCTTAACCAGCATTCAGCATTCTTCGCGAAATTACTTGACGACCCAGACGCCTCGGCGGAAATGTGTAGACGTCATTTGGAGGGGAAGCCTCGCTTCTCCCATTGAGTTCTTTACCCCACAAATGGGATGATATCGAGCGAAGTCAATCCCATGTCGAAGCCTCCTACTATGCAAAAGAGTAAAGAACAGCAAAGGAAGGCGCACATTACCTGTAATTGAATTAATCTTGTGTATCAATTGAGAGGTGCAGTGGAGGGCGGATTGCCAGTTTCTCAGGGAAACCTAGACCCCAAATCGTATGATGATGCTCCCCAAGCTCATGTGGAGACATGGGACGTCCGGGGGGCCACTCATATTGTCTCCCATGCGGTTCGGCATCATAGACTTCGGATACTGTACTGCGCATGACATCGAGGTTGTCGTTTCTTTCTGGGATCACCTCGCGGGCCTTGGAATCCAGACAGAGCCAAGTCTTGGTTCCAGTATGCAGCTGAAGCATTGTTCTCTCATACGTTCATTCGCGCTTGTGCATCCACCGATGAAATACACATCTCGGACACAACCGATTCATGATGCAATGGTAGTGAGAGAACATACTGATATTATATAGTTCCGGCGATTTCTGGCATTGGACGGCTTTTTCCCCCTTAGGATTATTGACTATACATGACAACCCAACCGAGACGACTCTTATGATACTGTTATTTGACTTATTTTTCTTTCCACGACCTACTTATTGTTAATATCTTTACGCACCAATCCATCAAAAAATTCATTCAAAATGTCCGCCAACGAGATGACTACCAGACCCGAGGCTGAACAGTCAGAGAACATTGGAACCAGGGTTGCCAAAAAACTGAGCAAGCGATTATCCATAGGCAGCGGAAGCAAAGAGGGCACCAGCCATGGAGGCGCCCAGGATTCAATACTCGACAAAAGCGCCTCTATCAGAGACGAATTGGGCCAAGGTAACTTCAGCGGCGCCAAAGAGATCATCACCAAAGGCCAGACTACCAAGAGATCTACGAGCCAAGGAGATACCGGCGGAGCTTCGGGCAGCGCCGGAACCAACCAACGAGATATGAGCAAGGAAAATGCCAAGGAGACTGGACAGCAAATCAACAAAGGGATTAGCCAGGACAATTCCGAAAAGGCCTCCGCTGGTGGATCGAACAAGGAACAGCGAAACGCTGGCAGCCCACCAGTTATTCAACTCAGGAAAGAAAGTGGCAGTAACGAAAATACCGAAAAAGGCTCGACTAGCGAATCCAACAGAAAGGAACAAAGCAAAGGCCACAAAGACATGGACCACCGAGGTAGTGTCGCATCCGGAATGCTCGAACCAAACTACGATATTCGCAAGGGCCCTATCACTACGGAAGGAACATTCCAGGAGAAGAATTTCCACAACAAGACTGGCCGCGAAACTATTGTTTCGAGAGACGGCGGCATCAGCAAAAGCCCTACCCAAGGAGACGCCAACACACAGGCTAACACGGGTAATGCTACTGGATCGAGCACCAACCAGCAAGGCCTTTCCCAAACTGGCATTGTAGGATCGAGCAGTGACAAGGGCAAGTCAAGCTCCAGCAAGCGTAACTCTTCTCAGTTTGCCTCTGCCGTAGCACCAAACAATGGCAAAGACAGCTCGAGCCAATTGAAGAGCGGAGGAGCCAATGCTGGAAATGATTTCAGCGATGAGTTCATCCAGAACGAGCTCCACGACCAAGAGAACATCAGCGGAGACGTCTTTGACGATGGATCCGGCGGCAAAGACCTCTCTAAGAAAACTGCAGGTCATGGTATGTCGAAGAAGTCTCATGCCAACCAGAAGAACCTTGAACAACAGGGCTCCAAGGCTTCGCAGAAATCAGGAGCTGACCAGGGTTTGGCAGGTGCCGCTGTTATCGGCGGCAGTGGAATGAGCAAAGGAACCAGCAGCCAGACTTCTACTGCCAAAAAACAGTCAAGCAAAAGTCACTCCAGCTCTGGAGTCAACGAAATGGCCCGCAAGGAGCTTGCTCCAACAAGTCCGAAGAGCCAGGCTCAATCTACTGTCAGTGAAAATGGTCGCTCAAGGGGCAAGGACTCGGCCGCCGACAGTCAGGCAAAGAAGAGGTCGTACTCTGGAGCACTCTTGGGCCAAGGTTCTGGTCAAGGTTTCAACCCTGCTATTCCAGCAGATAGTGCCTATGCTGGCACCGGGGGCTCGCAAGAGGCTAGCACCATGGGCCAGCACAGCGGCATTGGCGGGACCAGCAGCATGAGCCAGACCAGTCAGTTGCGCTCTACCACTACTAGCCAGACAAAACAGTCAACGTCCAGCAATGTCTTCTCCGGCAGCGGTGGAACTACCACCCAAGCAGCCATGGTTGGCGGAGGAAGACTGCAGCAGAGTGGCGTCAACGGTGGTTCCAGCAAGAGTGGTGTCGGCAACGGCACCAGTAGTACCACCACCGGCGGCATGAATGGCGCAACCACAAAACGCACCGTCAGACAGCTCAGTAGCGGGGGCTTCAAGGTTACTGTTCTCCAGGAGAAGCTCCAGGCTGTGTCCCAGAAGTGCAAGACTCAGCTGGGCCTTTCTTCAGATGATATCAGTCGCCGCAGCCCTACCGTTGACTCTTTCTTCGATGCTGTTGCTGCTGAGCGTCTCCGCTGGATGCCTCGTGATGGAAGCAAGCTTGACTGCTGTCTCAGATGGGCTTCCAGACTGGCATATGCCGTTGACGCTCTTAGGGAGTCTGTCGGAGTCTTTGCACCTGCCGCCAACGAGGCTGCAATGCTCATTTGGGGATTCTCCATTCTTCTTTTGGAATCTGACATTGACAACACCGATGTCTTCGAAAGCGTCTTTGGCCGATATGGTCGTGTTGCTGTCGGCATCTACTTGCTTCTCCAGTACGAGACCGCGTATAAGTCATCCCCTGAGCTTCAGCCAGAGGTCACCGCTGTGTTTGCCGACTTGCTTGAGATGGTCTGTAGCACAACCACGAGCTGTGTTGAGGGATTCAAGAGCAAGGAGTCTGACCAGGTAATTGGACGCAACGTTGACGCAGCCTTTGTGACCTACGCCAAGCGCTACTCTACTCATTGGAACTCTGTTGTCGACTCTCACACCTCGAAGCTCGTGAAGCAAAGTTCGCAAATCTATTCTTCTCCTGAGCTGGGTAGCTTGCGTCAGTTCCTGGGAGTACAAGACCGTCCTCTCCAGTTTATTCTGGATTCCCGCGCCCACTTACTCGCTGAGGGGTCGTTTGAGTGGTTCAACAACACACTCTATGACTTCACTGTTGCTACCACCCCTGTAATGCTTATTACAGGTGGAGTTGGCTCTGGAAAGAGTGCCCTGGCTCAATGGACAGTCGAGAGACTGCAGGAGTCGGCCGAGCATGATAGCTGGAATGTCATTCCGTACACAATTCGTGAGTTTTTCAATACCAAACCCTGTAATCATCTACTGACAAAATTTAGGGGCCGATATTCCCGTCGCTACTCTGCCTCTCCGTATCCTGAAGGGTATCTTGCACCAGATGTTGGATCACTGTGTTAGTGATATCCAAACACAAGAAGCAATCCTTGTCGATGTAGCCAAGGCAGCTCAAGGTGCTATCGATGGAGCTGGCGATGACGAAGTTGAAGAATCTCTGTGGAAGGGAATCCGGACCGGTCTTTCTGCCAACATCCAGTATATGTTTGTCATTGATGGTATCGACCAGATCAAGGGCGGAGATGCTGATGCTATGGCTTGCTTGGATCACTTCTGTGATATCCTTGCAAAGCAGAACGCCGGATCTAAGATGATCGCTTTCACTCGGCCGCTCAGCTCGAAGACAAGCTCGAAGAACGTTCAGCAGTTTACCATGCAGACCTCTCAGACCAAGACAGACCTCACAGCCTATGTGAAAAAGATGCTTGCGTCTGGTGCTAACTTCGACACCCTCAAGAGTAACCAGCTTGATAAAGCTGTGGATTCCATCGTCCAACGCTCCCAGGGCTCTTTCAGCTGGGCGGAGATGGCGGTTGCGTATGCCAAACAGCAAAAGACGTTGAACCAGGCTGTTTCATCCGTGCAAAGCCTGCCACAGTCCATGCCAGAGCTCCTTGACTTCCACTCCACCAACGTCGACTTCACCCAGCAGGGAACTCTCAATATTGTTTCCTGGCTGGCAGCTGCCGAGAGACCCTTGTTGGTCGAGGAAATTGAGCACCTCTTGAATGTAGACCCCAAGGGTCCTAGCTACGTGTCCCGCCAACCTGCTGACAGCTACGAGACTTTGAATGCACTGAGTCCCCTCGTCATGACGCGCGATGGTGTGGTGTCTTTCGCCCATACCTACATTCGTGACCATGTCATCAGCCAGGCGAAGACCTCTGGATCCAAGTTACTCAATCTCAAAGAGGCACATTACGACTTGCTTACTCGATGCCTTTCGTGTGTGCAGCTCAGCGTCCAAGAAGAAGTTGATATCTCCATGGACAAGTTGAGCATGGAGGAGCGCAACCACCTCTTTGATAAGTATGTCGTCTTGGAGTACACCGCACGCTACTGGCTGTCGCACCTGCTGTCCTCACCTTTGGTGACAGATGACGGAGAATTCCAGTTCGACAATAGCTTTAAGAAGCTCCTTCCGGCGACAGTTCTCTTTGCTCGCCTGGAATTGACTTGCCGCGAGTCCCAGTTTACCCGCTCCAGTGTCGTTGAGCTTTACCGACTTGCGAGTGACATTCGCCGAGCCATTCTGGGAGACAAGAACATGGCCCTGCTGGAAAGCTTGCTTCTCAGCTCACGCGCGGCCAAGCTGGCTCACGCCAGCCATGCCGACGAGCACTCCTACGAAGCTTGGAAGCTGAGCCAAGAGCTCCTTGGACAGTCACACTCGCTTACCCTGACATGTTCCGAGACAATGACTCAGTCGTTCTCCGAGCGAGGAACTATGACTGCCCCGCAGGAGGATATCATGAGGTACTTGATCCTGACCGACACCGAGATCACTGGCGTGGAGTTCAACCAGCGCTTGAAGTATCTCGGAATTATTGTCAGCATGTACAAGTCTCGCAGCGACGATGACTCTGCCCTGCTCATCTCTAAGCAATTCTACCAGCAGATTCTCCAGAAGTACGGAACAAACTCTCACCAGTCCTCCGAGACTGCCGATTTCTTGACCGCTCAATTCTCTAGCACTGGAAGCGATGAGATGAGCCGAGACATTGCCAGAACGAAGTATGACAATGTTGTTCGCACCATGGAAGTCACCGATGAGCGCCGCATAAGCTACACTCTTTACATGGCTCAGTTGTACGAGCAGCAAGGTGACTTTGCTCACTCTCAAGCCGTGCTTTCCAACCTCTGGGCTGGTCTGAACTCGCGCGACATTGACTCTGTCGACATGATGGACAAGAAAGCCAATGTGGCTCTCTTGTACTACCAGTTCCTTCGTCGCCACGGCCGAAATGACGAGGCTGAAGTCATAATTCGTGAACTGGTCGCTGATCTCGAGGTTACTGGTGTCCACTCCTCGGATATGATGCACCGTGTGAACCTTCTGAGAACCGAGACTCAGGAGATGCACTTGTGGAGCCTGGACCGCTCTTTGTCGGTGCTCATGTGGCGCTACTACAAGGAGACCAACCAAGAATATTCTGAGGAGTCCACTGCGCTGGCCCTTTCAATCGCCCAAAGCATGTCCAACTCTGTATCGATGGAGCAAGCATCTTCGCTCTCCGTCAAAGACCGCAAGCTGTTGGTTGAGCTGTTGGATGTCATTTCGGCCAGCTCGAGTAACATGACTGTAACCACTTTGATCATGTGTCACAACCTCTCCAGCATTTATATTCGCGAGGAAGACTGGGTGCAAGCCAGTGAATGCTCCATGGCTGTCTTGCAGCACATCTGGCCCACTGTCGAGCAGCCCAAATCCCACAAGATGTTCTCGACTCAGCTGGCACCTCCTGCAGCCGACCTTGCCCTGATCTTGGCTTACTGCCACTTCCGCAGGCTGCACCTGGAACAGGCTACAAATGTTTACGACAATGCCTTTGGGTCTTTGATCTCATCAGAAAGAGTACCAGTTCCTTCTGTCCTGGCCGTCGCCAAGGCTGTGGTCGAATTCTACGAGACTTCTTACCAGTTCACCAAGGCGCTGACTCTGCTCCATACTGTCAGCAACTTCTTGACGTCTCGTCTTGGAGAGACCCACAAACATACCATCGACAACATGTACCTCGAGGCTGCTCTGGCAACTCGCCTGGAGATGACCGGTGAGGCCAAGAGCACCTACCAGCGCATCTACAATGCCACCTCTCAGGAAGGCAAGATCGACCCAGAGGGCATCGATGCTGCCATTGCCCTCATTGACCTCTACGAGGGAGAAATGCAGTGGGACTCTGCCTTGGGTGTCTACCGCTCACTCTGGCCAACCCTTGTTGTTGAGGATAACAAGAAGCACACATTTGACCAGATTCTGGTGGATCGCATGTTGGAGAGAACGTATTCCGGCTACATGTCTATTCTGACAACCCGCAAGACTAAGAGCTCCGAATTTAGCGAGCGATACCAGGTTGCTTCTGACTATGTCATGACCTGTCGCCACGTGCACGGTGCTACCAGCCAGAAGACGCTTAATGCCACTCTGCTGTTTGCTGAGCTGTGCGAGAGCAGCGATTCCCACATTGACCAAGCCATAGCTTTGTACAGGCAGCCTCTGCAGACCAGCGAGTGGGTGGACACTACTCAGTCGTCCAAGCCTCTTGACCAGATGACACACCCCCTGCCAATTACACTCAAGCATAAGCTGGCGCAGCTCTATGTTCGAAAGCATGATTCGACTAGTGACGCTCGCTCTCTCTACACAGAGGAGTTCCAGCTGGCCAAGAAGACCCAGGGCTATTTCTCTTCCACTACCCTATCTTGGCTGCGCGAGCTCGCAATGGCCCACTCGAGACAGGGAACTTCGACTGCTATCCAGCAGGGAAATGCAATCCTTCACACCTTCATTACCGACGTATTGCATGTTGGCGGTGATCCTGACCAGATGGGCGATTGGGCTCGCAAGATTGCTTCAATCTACCTCGAGTGCGGATTCATCGAAGGCGGCAATAACGTGCTCGACGAGTTGCGCCACCGCGTAGTGTACAGCTCTGAGGCCTCAGCTATGGCGCTGCATGACCGACGCGACGCCGTATTTGTCTCTGCTTTTGAGGAAGTCTTTGGCAGACGCGCTACCCACAGCCAGATCATGACGGAGATGACTCGTGAGATGTCGACTTACCAGGCGTTCTCCAAGAGCCTTACTGGTCACGACTTCATTCCTACTTTAATCACCGGTCACGTTCTGTACAATCTTCAGACCGAACAGAAACGATTCCGTGCTGCCGCAGACACCAAGGACAAGTTGTACGACTACTTCTGCTCCAACCTCTCGGCCACCAGTGTCGCCGACCAAGAAATCGTACAGCAGTTCTACCACATTTGCCTGCGTGAGGTCCATAGTGAGGATTATACCATGAACATTCTTAGCAGGACCGCGGATCTCGTCCGCGAATTGTGCAACTCCTCTCGCTTCCAGGATGCAACTATTCTGACAGGCGTGCTACACTCGTTCATGCACCTTACCGAAGGTCTGAACAGCTACAACAGCATCAAGACCGCCACCCAGATCTGTCTGTACTTGAGCGGCCACAAGGCGACCAAGTGCACAGACGATAAGACCTACCATGGCATGTCAGTCAAATCCAAGATGCTCCTTCAGGAGATTATGACAGCATCCAAATCCATCGGCATCGACATGGTGGACCTGCCATTCAACGACCTGAACGAAATAATCACCCTCCTAGGCGAGTACGATATGTTCGACGAACTTGAGGGAATCCTCACCCAACTCTGGACGTCCCGTATCGTCCAGCGCACCTGGACACCAGACGTGGTGGTGTGGATAGGCCGCCGTCTCGTCGAAACCCGCTTCTGTCGCGGCCACGTCGACTCAGCTATCCAGCTGTGCCGTGACATTTGCTACAACTTGCGCCAGGTTTGGGGCAGCTGCGATCCTGTCACTCTGGAGATGACCAAGCTCCTCTCTGGTCTGTTCACTGCATCAGATAACCACCAGGCGGCAGCCACCCTCCACGAGGGGATTCTGTACGACTTGCTCGGTGACAACGAAGCGAAGGGCCATGACCGTGCTGCTGATACCGTTTTGCAGCACATGGAGCTGCTCCGCCGTGCTCAGGCTCGCATGGGTGCTGATCAAACCTCGCGCCGGGCCTCGGCCCATGCAGAGCTGTTCCAGCAGCTGGGTTCCCGCTTTGGTATTGAGTCTGAAAAGATCCAGAGCGTCGGTGAAGCTCATGGCGACGAACAATTTGGAATGTGGTCCAAGCCTCGACGCTTCAGTTTGGATGTTGAGGACCTGGAAGAAGACGTCCAGTCTCACCACAATCATCTTCGTGTGGCTAGCGGTGCTGGTTTGTATGGTAGTGGTGGTTCCAGACGTATCTCGGTGCAGGCTCTCTAAGTATATACATGGAGCTATATATCCCTGTGGTCGGCTTCTGCTGGTGTTGATATTGGCTTATAATTACACGGACCTAAATTGTACACGTCCATAAAGTTGTTGAATTGAATGAATATTTACTCTTTGACTGTACCTGGCATTCAAGGAACTGAAGGTCTGTCGCGGCCTCTAGTTATATCAGATGGGTGGATGGGCAAAAGGAGGTGAAAAAAGGAGGCCAAGGTAGAGCGAAAACAATGCATGCAGTGGTATACCCGCGACGAGACTGGCTTTCATGTAGAGACTGTCCAGTATTTCATCAGTGGCACTGTATACACATTTAAAGAATAGATAAATGCAATTTGCCTAGAAAGCTATTTTATTACGTATGTCCTCCAAGGTAAAACTAAAAAGTGGGTGATCGAGGTCATATAATCTCTCCCTTGACCCTAGTTAGGGTTTGATATTGCAGAAATTGGATATACCATGCACACACCCAAAACGTAGTTAAATCAGTAAATTGAATTAATAATTACGTTGTAACATTTGGCTGAAGCCACCGGACATTAAACTATGCAAGAGCCCTACCTTCCTGAAGTATCGCCGTGGGACCTTCTTTCCTAAGCCATTTCATCATGTCGACATGTCCGAATCTCTAAATCACCAAGTCTCCAATGTCATAGAGCAAAACCCCCAAAATGCCCGAAGCCAACATATTTATGGATCTGGCCGAACCCCCTCTATTCATAGATCTGAACGGAGCCCCAATCCCATACCCAGTGATCCTGGGCTACGGCAGTTCATCAGTCGTCATCCAATCCAATGGAAAAGCAGTCAAAACACCCCTACGCCACCCAGACTACCGCGCACGAGAAATAAACGAGAACATAGGAACAATCCGCCTCGAACAAATGGTCTATACCCGTCTCCAGCCAATAGCAAATCAACAAACCTGCCCAGAAGTCCTGAAATGGATTGCATTCACCCAATTCAACATCCAGCTCGAGCTAATGAAAAACGGCACGCTACGCAACCTCCTCGACAAAGCCCTGATCGAACCACCCGCATCCAAAAAGAAAGCCTGGATGCGCCAGCTGGTCCGTGGCCTGATGTACATCCATTCCTGTCATGTCTTGGTGGTGGATGTCAAGTCGCGGAACATTCTCCTCACTGACGATTTGATGATTCGGTACTGTGATTTCGGGGAGTCGTCGTATATATCTGAGGATGTCAACATGGATACCGTGAATGACTGCGGCTACACGGTCAAGATCGATGTTGCGTTGCTAGGGGCAGTTTTCTATGAGATTGCAACTGGGAACCGGTGTGATGTCGACCTGTACGATCGGGGTGTAAGGCATAATAGGGTGCTTCGCTGGCCGCCACGGTTTCTTTTGCCTGCTACTGCGGGTGTCTTCTATGGGGGTATTATTGAGCGGTGCTGGAGGCCGATTGAGGAGGGTGGAATTCGGAATGCGAGGGAGTTGGATATGGCCTTTGAGAGAATTGAGATTGGGTTGGATAAAAGTACGGAGCCTGTGTCGCTTTGAGTCTGGTTCTTATCGTGTCTTAGACATGTACATGACTAGAATTGGTTTCTTCTTGATGCATGGATGGGTCGATGTATATTAGCCCACGGAACTGTATGAATAGGGCGTTAGTAAACGGACCTAGGGTTTCCCCCCGAAAGACCATCGTCTTAATTTGTTAGATTCTAAAGGCCCATTTGAAAATAAACAAAAGAAATGGCTTAAAGGGGGGTCGGAACTCCACCCTTTGGACAGGATAAGATTCGCTTAGGGGACTGGAACAGGCGACATTAGTGTATATACCTTTGAGACGTAGGTAATGCAACTAGTATATTTTCCTTAATGATTACCAGGGACAAGTGTTCAAGAATCTATTGAGTAAAATATGAGGTCCATTCAGTAACGCCCTATTCATAACTCTATGTTTTATCGGCAGAAAGCAGTGTGATCAATACCCAATGCACCCATTGATATTATTCCACCCATGCAGGAAATTCATAATAATAATGTGCAATGGTCCTGTAAAAATATCCCGTTAAGGTGGTGGAGGGTCATACCGTGGCCACGTAGGATGAACGTAGTCAAAGTCACAAAAACGCCAAAACGCACTGTCTATGTTGACATATACCAGCCAAAACTATAGACTGGAAGGAACATTGGAACCACATGGTCAAGCGGTCAATGCAAAGCTCAGCCCCATCAACCCCATGCCCGCAACGGCAAAGCCAATGCCCATGCCGCGGTGGTGAGTGAGACCTAATCCTTCGCTGAAGAGTTGTAATGCAACAGAGGTCATCACCCCGGCGGTGACTGCAAACATGCCGCCGTAGATACCCCATGAAGGGCCCGTGGCATCACCACTGCCGCGCTGGCCAGTGCTCCAAATCCAAAGTGCGGCTATCCCAGCACCGGCGGGTTGACTGATACCCCCAAGAAGACTGGACCAAAACATGGCTTTCCAGCGGGAGTTCAGAGCAAGATAGAGGGGAAGTGCCATGGCGAAACCTTCCACGATGTTGTGGATGAAAAGGGCTAAAAACACGGTCAAACCTAGTGTTGGACTGGCGTGGTTGGTAGCGTATGTGATGAATCCCTCGGGAAGCTTGTGCAGAGCAATTGCGAGCGATGTCTGCAGTCCAATGGAAAGGAATGCATTTTGAGGTACATGGTGGTGGTGGGGATTGCCACCATCGGATTTGGGACGTCCAGAATCAACATTATCCCCATGACTATGTTCATCGTGATAATGGCGCTCGGAATGTGAGTGATGCATATGCTCAGAGCGATGATTATGGGTTTGAGAGGAAGAGGAGGATGCAACGCATGGGTGCAAGGTATGGTGCGCCGCCACGGTATCAAAGTAGCCTGCTTCGGGTTCACCGGTGGTAGTATTGAGGCCAACATCAGACTCCGCCTGAGGAATCTCGGACTCCAACGGCGCAGAGATGCTCTGCTGGTGCGGCAGATGGGCCGGAGAGATCACAGCGGCGACCACAGTGGCTGGTGGGAGAAGCTTAGTGCACTCGCTGCCGCATGTCTGGGAAACTCCAAAACATGGTCCGTTTTCGTCGCAGAGAGGTTTGACGCCACCCATGAGAGATGTGATTCGGCGTGTTAGCATTGCCCGGACGGATTCGCGCAGTGCTGGAGTAGGTTCAATTTGTTGGCTCCGTTGCAACACCGCCGGAGTTGACTTGAAAGACACATGCTCAGCAGGTCGTAAGAGCGGTGTTCGCTCCGTATGTCCATTCTTATGGTTATGTGAGTTTTCATCCTCGACTCGACTCTCCCCGCGCTCGGGATCGTTTTCCGACTTTCCGTGCGTATGTGCGCAGTCCACGACATGCGAAGGAATAAAACGGTGAATGAAGCTGGAGACTATGCGGATAACCACAACTCCGGCGACGAAAAGACCTGTCAAGATATATGCAGATACAGAAGGAGAGAAGCCGGCGCGGGTGAGGTACTCTTTCGAGTTAGGGAGCATGCTATAGAGGGAGGTGAAAAGCTGCTAGATATTAGTTACGAATAATTTCAATCTCATCGTCCGAACTCACCATAACACCAGCGCTGAGACATAATGACGCCGACAGGAAGTTACTGCTGTTGGCGATCTGGAAGCTCTTGCGGTGGGAAAGCGCCTGCACCACGATGTCGACACAGATGATTGCCGAACCGAGGACGCAAGCTATGAATAATTAGTGATGGTTCAAATAATTCGAATCGGCGACACTCACCTACGCCTGAGACGGCGCTCATCACCCACCCCCGGATGTCGTTGGCAGCCATGGTGTGTGGGAGTTGGAGAAAAGGAAAATGGTGATGTAATTTGTATTCAACGGCCGGTAGTTGGCGGTTGGCGGTCAAGCTTCACTTCGCCTCTCTCGACAGGAAGAGAAAACCGAGACAGCCCTGCTGGATTGAGGGGCGTCTCTCACCTGAGCTGCAGGCCAGTGCATTCCTTTGCCCCCAAGGTTCTCACTTCCCCTCATGGCCGGGGACAGGGAGCAGCCGGAATCAACAGCCGGGAGGCATCGCGACTCTCCCTGGAGCAGGGGAGACCCTGCAAATGTGTTGACACTGGGGACGATGGAACACGAGTAGCCAGTTCGAGATTGTCTCCATATGGTGAGGCTCATGATCGCGTGATACCACGCGGCTTCATGCTGTCCGACATGCATATGATCGACCTCGAGAGGACACGGGGTTTCTGTTGAATAGGACTGACCAGGTCCAGCTGATCAGAGAAGAATCCAGAGAACAACTCGTCGATATAAAAGAGGCTCAGCTGTGAGAGAAATCGGAGGTCAACAGAATTTATACTCGAATTCACATGTGACTCTCTGATTGGTCCGTGACTTCTCCATTTTGTTTCTTTTTCTCCAGATTTGTTCCTTCGTTCGACTCAACCAGGCCAACTCCCGACAATCCTCGGGGACATCCAGTCATGTCCAAAGCAACTTTGGCCGTCATCGCTGCTGCCAGTGCCGCCACCGGTGCCGGTGTCACCGCGCTGCTCTACGGCAAACCCAGACAACAGCAGCAGCAACAACAAATCCCTCCCACCCCAACGACAGCCGGTATCGCAGCTCCCTCAGCAATCCCGGTACCAGCACTGGCCGCGAAAGCAGTCCTTGGCCCCGTCAACCCCTCCGGAATCACGCAATATGGCTTCCCAGGCCCAGTCGCCGACGAGATCTCCAACCTCGTTCTGCACGGCGCCTTCGACCGTCGCACGCGCAACCCCTCCTGGGTCGCCGAACACATCACGCCCGAGTCCCTGGCACTGAACAATGCCGACCGCAAGCACAGCACATTTACCGAGGACACGCACATCCCGGCTATGTTCCGCGCCAAGCTGGCAGACTACTTCCGCTCCGGCTATGACCGTGGCCACCAGGTTCCTGCTGCAGACGCCAAATGGTCTCAGCAGGCTATGGATGACACTTTCTCTCTGAGCAACATGTGCCCCCAGGTTGGCGAGGGATTCAACCGCGATTACTGGGCGCACTTCGAGACCTTCTGCCGTGACCTCGCGAAGAAGTACCCGTCTGTTCGCATCGTTACTGGTCCTCTGTATCTCCCCCACAAGGACCCCGATGGAAAGTGGCGCGTTAACTATGAGGTTATTGGTAACCCGCCCAACGTTGCTGTGCCCACCCACTTCTACAAGGTTATCTACGCCGAGGATGGCACCAACTCGCCCACCAGCAAGGTTTCCCTGGGTGCCTTCGTGCTGCCCAATGCCCGCATTTCGAACGACAAGCGCCTGACTGACTTCGAGGTCCCCATAGAGGCCGTAGAGCGTGCCTCTGGGTTGGAGTTCGCGTCTAACCTGGATCTCAGCCGTCGCCGTCGTCTGTGCCAGGAGGTTGCTTGCCAGGTCACTGTGCGCGAGTTCAACAATGCCAAGAAGCGCAACTAAGGGAAGTGCCAAATCCACTCGCGTGGCTTCAAACTGTATATCTAGAGCATTGTAATTGCATGGTTCGGGCATTAATAACCGCTCCGGGCGGTAATACCAGTATATTTTATCTACACGATTGAAAATCGTGTGTTTCCTACTCGTCACTTTCACTACTCTTCCGTGCTCAACACTGGAAGGCAATCCCGCTCTTCTTCCCCATATTCCCTCCCTTACCGGCAAAGCCAGTCCCCTCGGAACTAACCTCCACCAGACCGGGCTGGATGGCATCCTTTTCCTTATCCTTCTTCTTGGACTTCTTGCTCCCACTGCCATCATCTTTCTTCGAAAGCGGACGTGCTGTAAGGTCCGTCTCACAGACATAACATAAAACCTGACCATGTAGAGCAGCAGCAGCTTCCTGCTCCTCCTTGGTGGCATGAGGGTCGGGAGTATGGTGTTCATGAGGCGTCATGAACTTCGTAACACATGGAGAGCAGATGACATGACCGCAGGGTTTCGTGACTGTCCGAAAGCAAAGATTAGTTCAAATGTAACCCTCCAGTACGAATTGGATCACACATACGCATCGCCTTGAGCCCATTGCTCAAATTCTTCTTGCAGCTAGGACAAACCCTCGAAACAGTCCCATCAGACGCCTTCTCCTCGGTGAAATGAACCTCAACAAGCGACTTGAGCGAATAGCTATGCTGACTCTCATCCGTCGACCCGGGACAAATAGGCGTCAACTTGACCGTCTTGTTCGCAGCAATCTCATTCGCATCCGTGCCAGGCGTAAGCGAGGGAACCCAGAAAGAAGGCAAAGCAGATTTGCTAGATGCAGACTGCAAACACACATACAGCAAGATTAGCAAAAAAAAAAAAAGGTCCAACTTCACTTCCATCTCACCAGCACCGAAACCACATACCTTCTCCATCTTCAACTCGTTCTTCAACCGTTCCCTCTCCTCCCCAGCAACCCTAGCCATCTCCTTCTCATCCAACTCAAAAACCCTCTTCCTCTTCCCATCAACAACAACCTCCCGAGCCTTAAACTTCTTCAAAGCCTCACTCTCCTCCTCCGCCTTCCTCTTCGTCCCCGCACCGCCGTTGGAACCAAAAATATCCGCCTTAGCCTCAAGCCCCATAGACACCCTCTCAAAATCTCTCAAATCTCTCTCTTTGGCTTCAAGCAGAGTCCGCTCATCATCCTCAGCAATACGCTTGCGCGCATCATCACGCTCACGCTCCAGCCGCTTGATTTCCTGCCGTTGAGCGAGGAGGTCATTGATTGCGCATTCGCGGCAGAAGAGGTCGCCGTTGCTGGCGCAGCCTACTACTGGTGTTCGGGCTGGTTGGAGGCAGAGCCGGCATGACGCGAAGGGGAGGAAGCTGTCGCGGCCGATTGTGCTTTGTTTTGTGCCCCAGTTGTTGCGGAGGAGGCTGCGTTCGTAGGATGTGAAATGGGGGAGGGAAGTATTGCGTTTTGAGTGGGCCATTTTTAGTTATCGGGGTTGGAGGGATTGGGATTGGGGTTGCGTTTGGAGGAGCTTGGGTTAGCTTTTTGGGATGGGATGGCGTAATTGGTTTGGGGTGGTTTTTCTGCCGGTTTGCCGTTGGGTTGCGGGTTGGGATTGGTTGGTTGGGTCACCGCTGTTTTAACCGCTTTTTGTCAGCCCTATGTCGGTATAGATCTATATGAGGGGACCGTAAGATTATATGGAAAGATGTTGATTGGTGAGTATTTCTACTTATGACACGAATAATTCCAATCATTGTCAATCATAAGTCGCTTTTGTCTAAAAGTATTGACGCTCTCAAACGCAGAAAATGTAACACCAACCTAGGCGAAGCTGTATCGACCAAGCAGCCGCCTATCCCTTTAACAAATCCGTCCGATAACCCAATGGCAATGCAGAGATTCTAGGAACGCAGACACCAACATAGGCACAAGCGCAGAGAGATGCTCGTCAAAAGTTCTAAACCCAGACCGAACAGGAAACCCAGACCGAAACCCGAAATGCCAGACGTCACCGTTAATGCAAGCGCGAGAAGATGTTAACCGGTGGAAGAGGACTCAGAAAGAGAGAAAAAATAGAGAGAAAAAAGAGCAGAAGGATGGGTAGGAAGGGGGTATAATAATCGTCAAGCAGAAGATCAAGATCAAATGGTTAGGATGTACAGGAGAAGGGAAGATGAGGTTGACGAGAGGTTGAGTTTAGGCGCCTACGGATTGTTCACGTAGGTTTTCTGATGAGGCATTGTCCATGATTCGCTCGTTCAGTGATGTTGAGGATGGGGAGTGGGAGCTCCCGGTTCGTGGCGCGGAAAGGTAGTCTACGTTGGGCGTTGTTGTGGGCGACACAGGGCTGTTATCGGACTCTGCGTCAGGAATCGGAAAAGTGGTGATCACTTGAGAAGCTGGGCGCCCAATATCTTCTTCGGGTTGCTCTTCACGTGCGTCTTTGAACTCGGCTTCATCGTTGGTACGCAAACTGAGACCGGTAGTGGTGCTCATGCTATGCAATGAGTGAGGACGTTCTGGGTCGCGTTCCGACATTAGCGACTCGCCGCTGCCGAGGATGGGTTCCGAGGCCCGGGGCTCCTCGTGAGGAGTGGGCTTTCGCAGCTTGAGACGCTCTTCAGGAGGTATGTTTTGCCATTCCGACCCGAAGGTGACAATGGACGCCTTCTTTCCGTGGACAGTGAAGCTTGGAGCCTTGCGAGAGAGGACTTCACCGTCGCCAGAGGTTTGGTCATCCTCCTCCTGACCAATACTAGACACCGAACTCCGGTTCTTCTTTGAATGGGAATGATGTCTATGAGTATGGGAGTCACGTAAAGTGCGGTGAAGGCTGCGACGAACGCGACTCGGTCTATCGCCTGGAGGTGTGTCCGAGGAGCCCTCCGGCAGTTTCTCGGGGGTTGCAGTGGGTACAATATCTTGCTCTTTGCGTGCAGTTGGTGAACCACTCACGTCCAGAAGACCGGCTTCCCTGAGAAGGCGCTCTTCATTGTCATCGAAGCTGACGGGAGAAGTGAGCTTGGAAGCCCGCGACGCAAGACTGGCACCATCCCACTTGCTTGCACGACTAAGAACAGAAGCTTCCCGCTCAAGCTGAATGGTAGTTGGATCGGGAGAGTATGACTTGGCGCGTTCAGGAAGAGTGATGATAGAGCGACGACGACCAATGCGAGAAATGTCACCCGAAGTCGTCGATCCAGGGATACTGGGACGGCGCATTACTTCGTTGGAGGGTTTGGTGAGCAATCCTGTTTCTGGAGTTTGGTCGGTAGGATTCACAGGGTGCTCGGATGGATCGCGACTTGATGCAGTATGGACAACGCTGCCAGCTCTTTCCACACTTGGCTCCGATTTCACAGACGGACCGGAAAGAGAAGCCATGTGTGCTGCATCAGACTGTGCTGTCTCGGCAATGGATCCCACTGTACTCGCTGCCTCTTCGTCTTCACCTAAATCTCGGAGGAGGACTTGGCGGTAGCATTTGTTTCGCCAGATGTCCTGTCGCACCCATTTCAGCTTAGCAGACAGTCGGCCTGCAGCCATGATGACACCTTCTCTTGCCCGAGCGTGAACCGGAGTGAGAACCTGCAAGTGTCGTGCGTTTTGTAGCAGATCTTCCAGTTGCTTCTGCGAAACAAACAGCTTCTCATTTGCTTCGCGAATCTTGTGGCTCATCAATTCTCGTCGGGCCGCAACGAAACCAGCAACAATGTCGGTATCAATGCTAGGAGAATCAGGCTCCAGGTCACCTGTCTGTTGGGACAATTGTGAGGAGATGGAGTCCAACCGTTGACTCTTGCGGTACCTTTGGCCTTCGTAATTGGTGGCAATCATTCCCTTGGTGCGCACACCGGTCGTCCTGAATGCCGCGGCATAATTGAGGTGCGCAAGCCAATCATTCATTTCGGGTTCACTCTGAGCGAGGAAAGTCTCTTCCAACGCGTTGTGTCGAACAAACATGAAGGCAAATTTGTGCTTCTTGTAGCTCGAATCGAGGAGGGCAACTGCATCGCTGGTCGACATGATGGCATCCGGCTTGAAGTCAGAAAGAGGCGGTCTGAATACAAGGGTTCCACGACGTCCGGTCTTGACATAAGCCTCGTGCTGCGCCATGAGAGAGCGAACCCATTGGACATTGCGGAAGAAGTAGAGCTGTGAGAATGTGAGAATTGCACCCCATTCCTGCCATGGTGACCTGGCCCGCTTCTTTTTGGGATCTTTCCTCCAGAGGATTCCGACTTTGGCCACCTTGATATCAACCAACCCGGGGTTTGAGTCGAGGGGATTGCCTAAACTGGATGGCATGAATGCATCAGGCCGAGAACGCAAAGATATGATCTGCAAGATACCAGACTTGGTAAAAGCCTGGTGAAGGTTCTCCATATCTGGTGGACCAGCAGTCCCAAAATGGTCGTATGTATCATCAAGGTCCATAACATCCTTCAAGCTTGGTCGCAGGGATTCAAGTTTCCCATCCAAGATGAGGGCATAAGGATCGACGGGCTCCCGGCTAATTCGGCCGAGATTTTCAGTACTGGTGCTCTTGAAAAGGGCACGACGTGGCTTCGCAAGGTGGCGGTCACGAAGATTAGCATCTTCAACATGAATGAATGGAGTGTAAGAGATATTCTCATAGAAACACTCCAAGATGTCTTCCGAGATTCCCTCGCCACGACAATTCTTAACGTAGTCAGGCTTCTGCATCTTGCGTTTGTTGTTTTTGTTGAACACATCGGTGTGGAGAATCAGAATAGAAAATGCAATAAAGTATGCTTTATCGGGGGACGCGAAAATACCGGGGTTGCATTCATGATAGCGGTCAGCGAATGCTTGCAGGAACCGGTCAATCTGCTGTGTCTCTTTGGGAAGCTCAACCTCCATTAATAGTTTTCGGATTGCCATATCAATGGGATCACCAAAATACGAGAAGCCTCTCATATACTTCCGCAGGCCCACTTTGAAGAATTCCTCGTCCGATTGAGCAAGAACGCCCGCAATCATGCCGCGCGAGAGACACATTTCCAGCCGACTTAGATACGTCGCTGGAGTATCTGTCTCTTCCCGCTTTGGGACTGGTGGCGGTTCCGGTTTTGATATAGGCGTAGATGAGCCACCGGGCGAACCGCGTGGAGCTGGGGGCGATGAGTTTTGCCTCAATCGCTGCGTGATATTGAACATGTCCCCAAAGCTTTTGCGACCACTAGTCGAAGTCGAAGTGCGCCCCGAAGATGCCAGGTACGTTGTTGGAGTCAAGTCGTCCTGATTCTCGGCCAGCGATCCCATGGTGGACGATCGCCCTCGGTTCTTGAATGATGGATTCGATCGGACGGAACGTGCTGAATTAGTCGAGTCATTCCGGAACAATGGTGGCACGCTCGAGGCAGGAGCCAGTTGTACTGTGGATCGAGATGGTGAAGGTAGTGGTGAGATTTGGTCTTGGTTGTCCGAATGTCCGGAATTTGGTGTATCTACCGGTGGGAACTTCGGTCCATTGTCCGTAACTTGAGTCGACTGCGGGAGTTTTGGAGGAAGGGGAAATAGAGGGCTTCGCGTTCGTTTCAATCGTGGCATACGGAATCGTTTCGTTGCTGTTGCACCCGCTGCATCGCGAGGGGAATTGGTTCGCGCGACAGTCTGGTCTCCGTAACTCTGATCTGATCGAGACGACTCGGAGAACCGGGGGTCGATCAATGACGAGCGCTGAGAGTCGCTGTGCTGATCCCGGTTCCCCCGAGATGTTGTTGACAGCCGCCCGGGTTCTTCCGGGATACTCTGGGACGTTGCGAGAACGGAATCGGTCACTTGAGAATCGGCTGATCCCTGACCCCTCCGACGAGACTTGCCACTGGGTTGTTCCGTCGAAGACCGGGGCAATTCTTCCATGGATTGTTTGCGTGACGATGGTAGAAAGTTGAGCTTGGATCTTTGTTTCACAGGCTGGTCGAGTTCGTGGCTTGTAGGGGCGGTAGTAATGATCGTGGGAGCTGTGCCAAGATGGGACGGTCAGTTCTTCTGCATCAGTATGGATGTTGACGGGTTCACTTACGCGGTAGGGAAGGCACTGGAGGCGCGTCTTGGCCCGCCTTGGCGTATGACTTGGAGAGTTGGGGATCGGAGGCATGGCGTAGTCTCATAAAGCTGAATCGATTACGGCGCAAGCTAGGAGTGTCCCCCGAGGATGGACCTGCAAAGTCCGACTGAGCTACCCCATTCTCCTCTGGTGCCTGAAGACCCCGCAACTGAGGTCCTGGAGTGTCTAGGGCGGGAGATCGAGGGATGGACTCGGATAACCTGGGTTCGGTGGCTGGAGGGACTGGACGAGGTAGGTGTTCACTGCGACGTGACTGGCCTTCGATGGTGCTCTGTCTCTTGGAGTTGCCATCAGCCACCAACCTGAGTCCTTTCCAATGCATGGTGGACAGAGTGTGTCAATGACAGACTCAAGGACACATGCATGTAACTCTAGAAGAGGTTGGACATGGTTAGAAGTCCAGAACGTGGGATCTGAGGATCTGGTGGAGAGGGTCGTCAGCTCGCAAAAAGGGGAACGCGGGTAGGGAGGACCAACGTTCTAGATCGTTGTTACTCCAGAGCGCCACTTTTTTATTTCCTCGAAAAATCAGGGAAAATTCAAAAAAAAGAAGTAGCTATGAGGGGCAAGGCAGACGGGTTTTATCCAAAGGTCCAAGACTCCAAGATACCAAGAAACATCCCTGACGCGACCTGAGCGTCTTAGCGGGACGCCGTCAGAGGGAATAGATACTCTAGAGATAACTTAGAGATAGAGATAGAAAAAGAAATGGAGGTAAGAAACAAACAATAGAAAAAGATATCAATATGCATCAATGTAGATCGAGTTAATATAGATCTACTACAAGGCAACGTAGTTAATTAAACAGTAAGTTATATACTCGGATCGGGTCACTGACGTAGAAAAGCATGTCATCTCCCCGGATCTTTACTTAGCAACTCCAACGTCGCGTCACTTCCAGAACCTCAACTTCGCGAGTCGACGAATTGTCGTTTTCGAACATCAAACATTGGATATTGAACATTCAAGCCTCGAAATGGCTCTTTAACCGTACAGTCGTATCTCCCCTTCCCTTCTCCGCACCCCGAACTCCTGCCTATTTTATCCCTTCGACACACCCTCGGCATGCGTCTTCTACCATCACTCGTGGTCGCTGCGAGCTTTTACCCTCTCATATCTGCCGTGCCCGCAGGCTCCAGCATCACCCCACCGCCGCCCCTCCAGCCTGTCCACCTCATTACTCATTCTGACCCACGCCGCCCATGGACTCGGCTGCGCGATTGGGTAATCGGTTCGATCTGGGGTATTGATCCCAAGCATTGTTCATCGAGGAATGCATCGCCGCCATCTAACATCTACGCACGATATGGCAGTGATGTGGTGCTTCGATTTCACCTGCGTCAGCCGGACGAGGCAGCCGCATTGTCATCCGCATCGCAAGTGCTATTCTTGGATATTTGGGCCATCACCTCGGAATTCGTGGATATCAGACTGGCAGAGGACATGGTAAGCTTTACTTCGATTGCTTAATGGCTCTCAAATTAATCGCTCTTTAGATACCCTCATTGCTCGACCTTCTCCCGGTCACTCTCCGCACCTCCTACACCCCCCTCATGGATAATCTCGCCGACAAGATATACGCAACATATCCTGATAGTCTCCGTAATAATTTGGACCTCGGGTCAGGAACTATATCACCAGGGCGCAAGACAACGACAATTGGCGACCTCTTCTTCCAAGAATACCAGCCACTGTCGGTTATTACGCAATGGATGCGCTTGATGGCATCGATGTTCTCCTCGCATGTGCGTATGACTAGCATAGGTCTTTCCTACGAGGGCCGCGACATCCCAGCCCTGCGACTGAGGGGGTCCGAAACAGACAACAAACCCGGGCCCCGCAAGACGATCGTCATCATGGGTGGCACCCACGCCAGAGAATGGATCAGCACATCCACAGTAACATACGTGGCCTACAGTCTCATCACATATTACGGGTACTCCCCTGCCGTAACACGCTTGTTGCACGAGTACGACTGGGTCCTAATTCCTACACTCAATCCAGACGGATACGTCTACTCATGGGAGTCAGATCGTCTGTGGCGTAAGAACCGCCAGCCGACGGGACTCCCACTGTGTCCCGGCATTGACCTGGACCGCGCCTGGGACTTTGAGTGGGATGGCGAGTCAACTCACTCGAACCCCTGCTCCGAGAACTATGCCGGCACAGAGCCATTTGAAGCACGGGAATCGCAGCGCCTGGCGCAGTGGGCGCAGAATGAGACAGCTCATGGCCGGGTTGACATCGTCGGCTTCATTGACCTGCACTCTTACTCTCAGCAGATCCTCTACCCATACTCATACAGCTGCTCAGCCGTACCCCCCACCCTCGAGACTCTCGAGGAACTCGCCTTGGGTCTCGCCAAAACCATCCGCCAGACCTCGCATGAGTCCTACGACGTTACCTCGGCATGCGAGGGGATCTTGACCAATGGTGCAGCTACTGGAGTTACTTCCGGTGGTAGCGCTCTAGACTGGTTCTACCATAAATTGCATGCCACGTACTCTTATCAGATCAAACTTCGGGACCGGGGTAGCTATGGGTTCCTTTTGCCCTCGGAGCATATCATTCCCACCGGAAAGGAGATCTTCAACTCCTTATTGACATTCAGAAAGTTCATGTGGGGTGAAGAAGCCTCGGATATTACCTTTGAAGACATGATGATGGGCGGTCAAGTGCCCCTGGCGGATAAGGTATGAATTGGGTTGTCCCTGGAAGCGTTCCTTTTTAATGACTACATGTGGAATTCCGAGCAATTCATTTTTCTTCTTCGAGATTATCACTCCTTCTTTTGAGACACCTTGTATATTGGCCGGTAATGCAAGATTGTATGGTATATCTAATATTTTCTCTGATGTTAATGCGATACGATATGAGTGCAAATTACACTTATAGGCCATAAAATTACTACCTAAGGCACTCGAAAACGGGCAAAATAAAGGAGAAAAAGAGAAGCCAAAGCAGGGCGAAAATAATGATGAAACGGTATACTTAATTCGAGGCTTTGTAGAGAGACTGTCCAATACTTCATCAGTAGCACTGTATACACATCTATTACCTCTGTCATGTAATATACCAATGCCGGGACTGACGTCGAAAGTTGAACTGTCCATATTTGAATGACTTCTAGGGAAAAGTCAACCACCATTTCATCACGGCTTTTAAAACAAAAAGGAACATCATTACCGACTTCTCAATATTTGCCAAGTGAATAGTTCATATTTCTCGCCCCCACCATCCCCACTGTCTCAGCCTCGCCGATTTTTAAGGCACTTCAGATTTTGTTTGACGCCAGCAGATATTTCACCCAATCCGATGTGCCCTCGCATTGTAATATTCAATGTTAACACAGAAGAAAATGTTGGCAATTCAATGTCTCCTTCTGTGGATCGTTGGTGCTATAGCTGCTAGCCATTATCGTATGTGGCACTATCACGGAAGAAATGGACTACGCTGATGTATGCACTTCTATTACTAGCACTCGCTGTCAGCTTTGGATTTAATTACATGTATGTCGAACCAACCCTCTCGCTTTTGCACAAAGAAAGCAGAACACCGAGAACATTGCTAACCTTGGCATGCACAACTAGCACTGCTGCCTATGTGGACTCAGCCAATGATTCAGTTCCAATTGTGAAGATCGAAGGATCCGAAGAGTATCAGAGATATATGCGACAATTGGCCAGTGATTCTCAGGACAGAGTGTGAGAGTCCACACCGTGACATACAACAATCAGTTCCCGTTACTTACCTCTGCTACAGTAAACGACACAAAAGGGACGACGAAACAGAAGAAAGCGAACTGATTACGTTGCATTACCGCGATGAAGACTATGTGGGAAAATCCCAAAGAATGATCTCCAATATCCTCACGGAAGTCTTGCAATTGGCGACCGACGCTGTTAACTTCCCACTCGAGATTGAAGCAACGGGTATCCCTTCAGGATTTGACTCTTTGGCAAGCAAACATTTGACTGCGATGCTGTTGAACAGCGACGCAGCTCCACAATTGAAAGATGAAAGCCAGATTATGGGATTCTTCGAGACGATCCAACTGGTCTATGATAAAGAGGAGCCAGCGTCAGACCATGGTCCTATGCTTTATATCGACTATACTTATTACTCATTGGACATGAGAATTACCGATGGAGTAGTGACTATGGATCACCCAGAGCATACTTTAAAGGGTGGAAGATTCCCTTGGTTTGGGGCTGATTCGACTAGAGTCACTTTCAAGGTCTGTCTTTTCTCTTCTCTGCATGAACTTAGCTTCCACTCACGGATTTGCACATGCTAATTATATGAAAACAACAGGACAAAATTATGAATCAAATTTATGACTACTTCCCGTGGTTTGGGCCGTCTGGTTTTGATACACGCGATGCAATGGTTTGCCTCTTCTTCCATAATGTGAGCTTATATTGCTGATGCTGACAATTGGAAATAACAGGAAAGAATTGGTCTCCTTACTGGGTATTTTATCTCCCTGTTGGAGATTAGGGATTATCAAAATCTCCGTGGCTTCATTCTAACTGGAGATGTATCTCATGATGCCATGGAGGATATCGAGAGAGTTGTCAATGAAAAGCTGCCTAAAGAATGGAAGCCATCGCTTCGGGCGGATATTAACCCTGCCTTTGTTGGCGTTGTTGGTCTCACACGTCGAGCAAAGATGTTTACGCGGGATACAGAGGTTGTGAAATCCGGTCGTCCGATTCATGATGAGATGTGATCTATGTTGGACATTCTTTATCTGCAGGTCCTCATTGACTGCTGGGACTGAACGTACGAAATGCTCAATTGTAGATACTCGCCCGAGGTAATCTGAACATTCATCATACATACGCATCACCGTAGACCTACAGAAATGAGAAATTGGCATAAAGATTCATTATCATCAACTTAAGATCTTCATATTCTATATAAGCATTACAAAAGCCCCGGAGATGTAACTTATGTAATGGCACAGAAAAGGCCAGATTCGTAACGAAAACAGCAGCTCCACACGGCATTAGAAAAGCCATGAAACAAACTTCTGGTAGAACCATCCGGCATCAGCATGCTTCTCAGCCTGAGCCTCCTTCGCAGCAAGATAAGCTGCCTCCTCGCGATCAATCTCATCCTTTCCGGTGAAGAGATCGGCGGTCTCGGGAGAGACGCCCTTGCACTTGGTCACAATCTTGTATCCGAAGATGAGGATCAAGTAGAGCGGAATGCCAAGATAAGCAGTGATGAAGTTCTTGTAGTCGAAGTTACCGTATTTCTTAGGGTTGTGCACGAAGACATCGTAGTTCTTCGTGAAGGCGATGAGAATGCAGAAGGCCAGCGCGAAGTATGAGCCTGCGGCACCGAAGGGCGCCTTGTATGCGAGGCTTTCCTCGGGGATGCCTTGTGCCTTACGGGCACGCACGAAGTAGATATGGGTGACCAGGATTGAGATCCAGGTTAGGAGACCGAAGATGGTGACCAGGTTGACAAAGTACTTGAAAACTGTCTTGGAGTCACTAGACACGTTCATGTAGGCGAGAAGGGCGATAAAGGCGGAGATTGCCAGGGCGGGGACGGGCACGCCGCGGCGGTCGGTGCGGGCGAAGATCTTGGGGGCTTTGTCCTCACGGGCAAGACCGTAGATGGTACGGGTGGCAATGTAGAGATCGGAGTTGGCTGCTGAGAAGACGAACATCAGGATACAGGCGTTCAGGATGTGGTCCAGAACTGGGACCTTGGCCAGCTTGATGGCGACGACGAAGGGCGAGGCTGCTGCTTGACCGCTGACCTTGCCGGAGGTTGCAAACGCAAGAAGTTCCGAGTTGTAGGGAACGAGAGTGCCGACAAGAAGCACACTCACGACGTAGAAGACCAGAATTCGGTAGAAGGTCAACTTGATAGCGCGAGGGATAGTCTTGCGAGGGTTCTGTGCCTCGCCAACAGTCACTCCGACCAACTCTGTGCCGAGGTAGGCAAATGTTGCTGAGACCATAGTCGACCAGAAGGCCAGGAATTGACCTGTAGGTCCTTCCATGATGTAGTGGTTGAAGGCACCCGGGTTCTTCCAGTAGCGGAAACCAGTTCGGTCGTGAGTCGGTCCACCACCCAGCATGAGGATGAACGACATGAGAATAATTCCGAGAATGACGATAACCTTGAACGAGGAAAGCCAGAACTCGAATTCTCCGAAGAATTTCACACCGAAGTAATTGATGGCCACGACCAGAATGAGGAAAATGGTAATCCATACTCCGGGGTTGACTTTTTCTGACGGTATCCAGTATGATATTACCAATGCCCCAGCTGTCATTTGATTAGGTGAGAGGATGATGTATTTGAACCAGTATCTGTATATTGTTAGTAGGTTTTCATCAGCGTTGAAGGGAACACATACGTCCAACCCAAGGTAAAGCCGAGCGCAGGATCCACGAATCGAATGGCGTAACCAGTAAAACCAGAGGGCAAGGGAAGCCATGCAGCCATTTCTCCCAGAGCACACATGACCAGATAGACAATGAAACCAACCCAGGCGTAAGCGATCAGAATTGAACCAGGCTATAAAATATTCACGTCAGCGGGGTCATTCACGAGTTAGTTGCTGCGGTTCAGACTTACGCCAGCCCTAGAAAGCGTCTTGTTAGTTTCACATCCAAGAAAATCTTTTGATAGAACACGCGAACACTTACTTTGCGAGAGCTTCTCCAGTTCCGATAATCAATCCAGTACCAATGGCACCTCCGATAGCTGTTGCTGTCAGTATTTACTCTTCCCTGGGTCAAAATCGCACATACCAATCATAGTAATGTGTCTCGCCTTGAGCGCACGCTTCAGATCAACGTGGTTGGGGTCACCCAACCCCCCACGCTGAACCTCGACATCCTCGCCACTGATCTGTTTTGTGATGCCAGTTTCTGTGAAACCCTCAGACTTGAGGGGCTCCATATTGTGTGCGACGCCGATGGGCTGGGACGTAATGCGGGATAGGATAGGAGTCGCTGGGAGAGGTGAAAGATCTCACTTGAAAGAAAGTGAGATCACAGTGGCAAAGACTAAGATCAAGCAAACGATACGAATGCAACCTGACCGGGGCGCTCAGTCCTTATGTACACGAAAGCCAAGAAACGCACCTGGGCACACAGATAAGAAACAGGACCAGAGCCCTTTCTACACCTGGGCAAAACAATTAAATAAGATAAGAAAAAGTAGCCAAGCCTTTCTATTTCTCATCTTATGGGGTACAATTTTACCGTTCCGTAAACACCGTGCGGAGTCGGCGATGCCGTGCAGGGTCGCAAACAGTGTAGCTTGGCGGTCTCTAGCTCATTTTATCTGTAAGGTTTCAATCGCCGAGGCACCCTGGGAGTTCGTGTCCGGGCGGCAGGGCAGACTAGGGCTGTGCCTCTGCCACTTGAATTGAAACTCAGCCTCTTTTGAGGCTCTAAATCTTTAATGCCGGACTAGACGCACAGGATGGACAGCTCGTTACTGTATAGAGAGCTCACTACTGTATACAGTAAGGAGGGAATGATAGACATGTCTAATTTCCCTCTGTCAAAGCTTGTTGATAAGAAAAACACTGCATACAAGCGGAGACATTGGCGCCAAGCCCCGGGGCTTAGAGTCTGCGGGGTGAAAAAGCGCTTTGAATCGGAAGGATCCATAACTTATCTACTGGTAGGTGCGTCTCACTTGCCGTTTTCTATGTGTGGTCAAATGTAACCAGTCAACATTTTTCGAATGTCAACACTAGGTTAGAAACACCAGACAAATATCAATCTACTGGCTTTCCAACCGTGGTCCCACCAAGCCATGAGAGAAAAAAAAAACGCCGCCACCATCCTTGACTCAGCCACCCGGTCAACCAGCTGATGACCTGCAGCCCAGTCCATACTTTTTCCCACCCAAAAGGGGGCCGTTCGAGGCAACTTCAAGTAGACCGAGGCCATCGCCAAGGCGGGATCAGGCTTGGCAGGCGCACGCTAGGCCTAACTGGAGTCTGGGCACCTGCGCCATGACTGACCTACGGTTGTTCCAGCCAATCACCATTGAGGAAATAGGTGAAAGTGCCCGCGTATATTTACTTATCTCTCTTGGCCTGTGGTCTGCGCGTGTTTGGTTCACTTCAATAAAAAATTCCGTTGACAGGCGGTGTTGAGAATTTTCTGGAAGGATTCTAGGAGTGGCGACTCGAAACGCCGAAGTGACCCCAAAGCTACTGCAAGGTATTGAGATGGACGCGGGGTATTACTAACAGAAATAGAAGAGCTGGGGAAGAACAATCCTGGGGTAAATAGGTCTTGTCTCAGTCAGGTAGTCAATTGATTCAACCTTTCAAGGATTGTCTGCTTCTAGCAGCTCGTGGGTTACTAGGTTCGCTTTCGGAGTAACGTTAACTTACCTAATGTTGTACATACACCTAGAGGGTTCGATGTCACAGGTAGTCCGCTTGGTACGCAGGAGCGTAGTAAGGACTGCTTGAAAATATTATATAGCGGTCAATGTGATGACTTCCTAAGTTCCTTCTCAATTATTTGCGAGTGACGTGACATGGTCGACTCTGATCCACACGACAGCCGGCAAGTTCCTGTTTGGAGACGATTGTCTAACAACGAGATTCTCGATGCGAATGCCGGCTTCAATGCCCAATAAAACTGCCCTGCATTTCAAGACAAAGTTTTGGGGAAGAAAAATGCCTCAACTTCCTTGGCGATCAAGTCGAAAGAGTGTGGAGGTAGGTATAACTGACCTCAACACTACTGTGAGCCCCAAATCTGTCAGCACATGACGGGGGATATTTCCAGGTACGATGATAGGTTGAAGAAATTTCTATAGATGATGCTAATCCACTCGATAAGCCAAAACGATCCCATGAAAATCAGCTATATCAGAGAATTTAAACGTAAACAGTGGCAGAGAAACCCAAAAATGGATTTAGATAATGACAAAGAATAGAAACAGAAACAGAAACACCAACATGCCCTGTGGGGACTGGGTATACAGCTCGAATGAAGAATAGAATCAAACTTAAGAAAACAAACAAAAACTATAATATACGAAGGTGACGGCCTATATAGGCAGAATATGAGTGTCACCTTTGATCCCGGCCTAGTCTTAAGCGGTTCGTGTAGGTGGTTGGATACAAATATGAGTCCGACAAAATTCAAAAATTCAAAAAAAAAAAAAAAAGTAGAAAGTAGAAAACAGGACGAGAAATAGCATAAATATTAGCATAGAATTGCCATCCAAAGACCTTATATCTTATCAAGGCCCTTCCAAGACCCTTGACGGCCACTGCTAGTCCGTTAAGACCGTCTACCTTTGGCTGGACTTTTAGCTTCCACCCTTTTTTGATTCTCACCCCGTTTCATACCGTCCTTGTCGGAATTCAAGGTACCCGCCTCTTTCCCGGTACATTTACCGATGATATGACGAGGAGGCGGCTCTTTGATATAACCTCTTGGCTTTGTGTGCTAGAAGACTGTTATTGTGTTTCTTCACTCTGCTTTTATGAGCCGGAAGACTGTTCTGGTATTCTCCCTTTCCAGTTTTTAGGAAAGAGGTCTGTCCTTTTTTTGTTTGTTCGGACCTTGTTAGCTCTTTAAGGATGGGAAATTGTCCCTAGGCGCTATAGTGAATAAACTTGGTTAGCATAGGTACTTAATCAAATTATCTATAACGTTACTTTCTTAATGTACTTACCGAGGTTTTCCCAAAATCTTCACCGGGATCGCTTATCGTTTAAAG